CTGGGCTTTGCGTCGTTCCCTTCGCGAGCCGCGCCTCCATCGTGTTCGTTCCCGACTCTCGGCCTTCTCGTCTACTGCATTTTCCACCGATAACGAGCCCTTTAATCCGACCGCCGCGCTGAACTCCGCTTGCCGTGCTGCAAGTCTCCCCTGGTTCAGGAGCTCTCGACTGATTGAGGATCGCCAGGCTTCACGCAGCGCCCGAGCTGATGGTCTGACCTGAGACTCCCACTCGAGCACCCTGCGCCCATCGTACAGAAGTCGAACACGCCGGGTTCTGCCGTACTCAACTCCTGCAACATCTTGAGGATCTGAGCCTGCCCAACGTGAGTCCAGTGTATACCTTCCTCTCTACCCACTCAACCGAGCGCCCCGCGCGCCCTCGTCAAGGCTGTTGGGCGTGCGTGCCAGGCTGAGCCGCACCGAGCGAGACAATAGGAGCGGTCCTTACCAACGTGAGGGTAGTCGCCAGTGGCGGCGGCACTGGCCAGCGGTCGGCAGGGTTTGAACTTACTCCCTGGACAACCTTGGCTGTATCAGATGCCCGGGCCCCGAGGGCACCACAACTCAACCACATGAATTGCATCGGAGAAGGATTGCGCTTATCGGGCGAAAGCGTCGGCACTCATTCTCGGGTGGGATGTTCTCCGCTCCTCTGTGTCCTGTGGGCTGGGAGGCGCCGAGTCGGCCATGGGTCATAGGTGTGGCGTCGGGGCAACCCTCCAGCCAAAAGATTTCCCTGCTGTGCCAAACAGTCTACGGGATAACGTCCGCATTCCGACGCCCAACAGTTGCTGTTCCCCCCTGTTGCAGATTCCTGACCAAGGGCTAGAATAAGCATAGTTGGCCAGGCGCTACGGCCACGAGGTTGCCTGTCTGTCGGACAGCAACATTGGCTAGGAGAAAGCGGAATGCTGGTGGTGCTTGGAGGCGCAGTGTGGTTCCCCCGACCCCAAGGGATCTCGGACGCCTGGACGCCACCAGCGGAAACCCTGTACACTACCGCCCGCACACACTGTCTGAGCGTGTCGGTCCTGAATCGAACAGAGGGGTGCATGCATGCACTTCAGGTCGGAGTGTCAACAAACCGGGCGAGTGTGATGCATGGAGCGGCCGAGTGTTGCCACCGGCGGCAGAAACGATCGGGTCGTGTGCTTTCTCGGCCTGGGCTGGCGGCTGTCGGGTGGTATTTGCTACGGTGGACGACGCCATGACCTCCCGGCCGAGAAGCCACCGCTGAGTGATACATGACTTGGAATCATCACACGCTCGATACCACTCTTACATCTCCTGTTCTTCTCTACTCTCCACCTACTGCGTACTTGGCCAGCGTCTGACAGTGTCTCTCCTCTCCCCTCCCGTGTACTTCGGGCCCACCCGATGCCAATGTGTCCACCCAAATCGCAGTTGGACGGCTACACACTATCGCCCAACCACTGTCCAACCGTCCAGAGGAATTCCCACTGAGGAAGACATCCTTGAACTTCGAGCCGCAGTGTGACAGCAACTTTTTTGTCCGTCTCATCCTTCAACCCTTCATTACCACCCCTTTGCAGACTCGTTTCCGACTGTGAGAGCCCTCAGCTGATAACAGGCGATCATTTCTTTCGTCTTTTCATCCGCCTTCGATAATCGGCATATCCCCGGGACGCCACCACTGTCGGCTGCTGCTTCGTACTCGCTTGACTAACAGCTTCCCCATTGCCTCCTGTCAACGTCACAACTGCATTTCGATCTCTCGGGAGGGTATAGGACCTCGTTCAGCCAGCCTCCCGACATCTGACTTCACCGGATACTGTCAAGTGCCGAGTACTTCACCGATCATCGTGGACACAGCCGAGTGGTTAACATTACGCCCTGCAGGTGTGCCACTTCTACTCTTTCTCCGCTCAACCTTCAATCGACTTTAGCAGCATTGCAGCTATAGCAACTAAAGCCTACGCGAGGGTAGGTTCGCGATTTGACTCGGAGTGTGAGCGCTGTGCCCAATGACGGATGACCTGCCTCTATCCCAAGTGATATTAGCAAGCTGACATGCATCCAGATCAACCGCGCAACAACCGGCCAAGACGGAGCGCATTACGCGCTGAACGGTACCACTTTCCCGTTCTTCCAATCCTTGTTGAAGATTTAGTTTTCGCAAGCGCATCGAGCCACATCCAACCCGGGCTTCGCAACACAACGCTCCTCAATCAGAGATATCCTTACCGAAGTCTACCATCGATACTGTGCAAGCCGTTGTCGTTACGCCAGATCTTCAGCTCAACGGTGTCCCGGGAGCAGATTCGGACCTCCTTCACCGTCGTCCACAACTTGACACACGAACCCCGACACAACGGTTTCAATACAGTGCCCACAATCGACTCTCTTAAGGTAGACAACTGCTGTCAGATAGGCGACAGGAACGCATCGACACACGGCTGAACCCAAACAACCGATCACCCGTGACATCATTCCTCGTTGAAACGACAGTCTTGACTCAAGTGAGTAACGTGCCCACATCCTATTCTTGGTTCACTCTATCGTGGTGCCCCTGTAAGTCGGTGTGCCCACGGAGCATCGACCGGTCTGTTGGAATCTGCGCTATAGCGTCGGTTCTGATGTCGAAAGGGCTCAGCCGTCAGATCACAAGGGGTGTCGGGAAATATAACGCTTTTCCAGCGTCAAAGCCTTCCCTCCGACTGCCTCAGTCACATTGAGACTGGCGAGCTGAGAGCCGAAGGACCGGAATCGAGGGTGTTAGACGCTGTCAGAACTGCCCACGACTCAGTCGTTGATGGAGGCTGTCGCTGCGTCCGAGTTCGGCCCGGTTCGACAGCCGTGAGTGTAGCTCTCACGGCTGTAATCAGCGGTTTGATCGAAGAGCACGCGCCTCACAGCGCCCTAACTCGATCCATCCATGGGTTGTTGCAACTGTGGCTCGCAAAAGCTCGCGTGCGCGTCGAATCCTGAGGCCGTGTCCTGAGAGTCGGCGATGTCGTAAACGGCTGCGCCCTCCGTGCTTTTTAAGCTGTTGGGGGCTGCCGCTGCCCCTGACAAGGCTCAAAGAGATATCAACGAAGATTTGGGTGGTGAGGTTGATAAGGTTCGGGGAGTTGCGCCGGCGCTGCAACAGCGCGGCACGGCGACTCAGCGAGTCAGCGAGTCAGCGGGCTGCCGGGGTAGTATGGCATTCATGCAGCCCATGCTGGCATGATCCCTACGACTTCAGCTGTTCCTGTCTGCCCCTTCTCAGGATATCGTAAAAGCTTGTTGCTCCTGAGCTCGCCTGGGCAGGATACCTGGGGCCCACGTGTCCTTGGGTCTCCTGCCTGGCTGTTGAGCTATATCCTGGGTCGTCGCGGCTCCCATGCGTCCAAGATGCCCTGCCTTAAGCCTAAGAGTTTATGCTCGGGAGTTTCTGTAGGTGGGAAGACCCAACACTTAGACCAAACTCACGTCCTGGAAGGCAATAAGGTCGCCAAGGCACCTGCCTCACCCTTCTTCACCAGCGGAACGAAAGCTCAGCCTTCGTTCTCTGCTGGTTGTCCTGGGCGGATCGAGCGCTTCGGAGCGTGCAGAGCTGTGCAACCCAGTCACACCAGTTTAGTGGTCCGCGCGGGTGTATCACGCTGAGTATCGTGGAGCGCAGAGCGAGACGCGGGCTTGCAGCCTGCGAGCCCGCTGTCCGTCGCTCGGTTCGAGGAAACGCGTACAGTCACCCGTCCTCACACATCGGCTTGTTATCACCGCCGACTCATGTTTCCACCTTTCAACCTCGTGGAATGGTTAGCGGGACCATGGAGTTGGAGAAGGCAGGTACGCCGCGTCAACGGCGCGGGTCAAAACGAGGTTGACGATCCAGCTGGCGGCTCCTGTGATGACCCCAGCCGAGGAATGCCTTGGGGTATGTTTGATAAACCTCCGCCCGCGATCCGCGACCTGCACTCGGTCTATGGTAACTGCGAGGCGGAGTTTCAGAACGCTAGGAGTGGGTGATGGTCATCGAAACGTGGTGATGAGGACGTGACGTGACGTTAAGCGCCGTGCATCCGCATCAACAGTGCGAGCCTGGGCGGTGGTCAACCCTGCATGCGTCAGGAGTTTAGAGGTGTCGGCTCCATGTCGCAGTGTCCTGATCCCTCCCGGCTCTGTGGACGGGTGACCCGGAGCCATGCAGGGGGTCTCTGGGTCTCTGAGCTCCAGAGCTCTGGGATGTTGACTGCTGGGACAGGGATTACGTTGGCGGACTCGTTCCGTAAAGGCTAAGAGTGTTTTAGCACTAGCTTAGTGTCCAGGGTTAGGGATGTCGGTCAGGCTCGCGGACATGAGTTGTCGGGATCGACATCCCTGGCCCTGCCCGGTCAAGTTAGGTCCCAGTTGCCCCCCTTTGCTGTACCTCAGTACCCTCATTGCCCTCCCTGCTCTCATTCCCCCTGATGTGCACTCCCCACCCCCCACCAAAGCCTTGAGAGCCAACGGACCGAGACCTCCTAGAGACCTGCCTTCCACCAGGGGAGGTCGACTCTATGACACTACTTGGCCCGACACCCGGCACGGCACACTCGCTGCAGTCAGCTACAATGCAGCAAGCAAATCTTTGCTTGATTGTGTGTTTGTATTCGCTTCATTTACCTCATTCCCGTCAGCACACCCCTCCTCACGCATACACGAGACACCACATTCCTACCTCGTTCGCGATTCTCAACATCTGAATGGCAGCTGACCTCGCGCTCGCGCCTTAAACGGCTCGCCCCACACAACACGACCGGCTGTTACCGCTATCGCACCGCGCAACATCATCCTCCCCTCGACATTCCCGCTCATCACCCCTCCCTCTCAACGTCACATCTCATGCGAATATTCTGCATCGTCTACCTTTCCATTCCAGCTTGATTCCTCGATCATCAAACGTCCTTTAAGCTCCCCCTCGAACCCGACCAGCCAGTGCTGCGACACACACGACTCGCGAGCCACTGAGCACGCCGGCTCGGTAGCGTCTGACTCGCTCCTCCACGCAAATGTCACCCCGTATCGGAGGAGGGGAGTCGGATTCGGGACCCATTGCTCCAAGCGGTCGGAGCTTGCGGACTCGGGAGATTGGTGCTGGACCGTCAGCGAGGGGATCGTCGTCCCGCAAGCCCAGCCTGACTAAAGGTGCAACATCTACGGATCGAACTGGGGCGGGTGGTGACGACGATGACGGGAGCGAAGATTCAAGTGATGACTCAGACGATTCGAGCGAACACGACGAGCTTGACGAGAACGACAGGCATCGTGAACTCTCCAGCAGTGTGGCGGTGGAGAATATCGCACGGGAAGATCTGTAAGTTTATCATTCAATGGCGGGCGCGGACCCAAAGAACCCAACACCCACGTACCTGGTCCCCCTTTATCGTCATTGCGGTTTCGCGGCGATGGCGAAGTAAGCTTATACCTTACGCAGTGTCTACCGGCTCGAAGTCATTCAGCAGCCTCAGCGAGCGCGTGCATGCGGGTTTGGAGACAAGGTGAGTAACTCGCGTTCAACTCAGGGGCGCTCCACTGGACCACTTGAATTTCGGGTTTCGGACTTGGAGGGAGCCATGACCATCCATCGAGCGCGGGACTGGCGGGACTGACGGCGATTGCAGGATCGACGACCATTGTCACCGCCGCCTATCATTCAGCTCCGCATCTTTGACAAGTCTGGGAATCCGGTCTCTCCCAAGTGAGTTCAACATCGAGATACAAACATAAGCAGGACGGCGATCTGACCTGCCCCAACAGTGCCATCGACTGTCATCGTCTGATTCTGATGGTTGATCTCTGGAACGGCGATCAAACACAGCAGCGCAGCATCGTCATGCATCCAGGAGCTCGTCAGGATCAATATGCCCTCTTCACGCACACCTCGTCGCGACAACCGAGCGTCTCGCACGGCTACAGTGAGAATCAGACGTCCCCCTTCAGCAGGGGCCCCAATGCGCGAGCTGGCAGCACAGCTTCTCAGCCACCTGCCGCCTGGCAGGGAGGACCGCACGGAGATTGGAATGCGTACCGTGAGTACCAGGCAGGGCTATCTTGGTGCAAGGGGTGAGCATAAACTGACTGGATAGCGACGCGCCCCCCGCACTATGGACACGCTTCTTCATCTTCCTACCCACCGTTAGCGTACGGTGGACACCCCCCACCGCCCTGGCAGCAATCGCCTGGACACACGCGCCCCCCGTCTGCGTCACACCCGCCGTACGGCCCCCCGGAGGAATGGCACGACGCTCGATCGGCGTCCATGTCGGCCCCGCCCCCGCCTCCCCCACCAGCTCACCACGATTCCCGAGGCTGGACGCCGGAAGGTACCCCGATCCAGACGCCAGGTGATGTTAACTATCCCCCAGAACGAGCCGGATCAGGTTATCCGGTTGGCTACCCTCCCCCGCCAGGAGCAGAGGGTCCCTGGAGGAAGGACTCTGGCTTTGGCCGCGACGAACGAGCGATGGTGCCCGGCGCACCTGGAGCGCCTCCGCCCGGTCCCGGCTACGCAGAATGGGACAGGCACTACGGTGCGCCCGTGCGCCCATGGGGTGCCTCAGGCGACGACCACTGGTCCCGACAGCACCGCTACTCGCAGTCTGCGCAGGGGCAGTCCACCACTGGCATGCCCTTTGTCACTTCGCCAACGCCGGCGCCGGCGACAATGTACCCCGAAGGGTACACGGAGCGCGTGACGAGCTCCACCACGCCGTCAGCGTCGTCGCACTACTCGCGCGTGCTCGTCGGCTCGATGGGCGCAGTGTGTCAGCGCCTGAAGGATCTCGACGGCAATACGGGCTTATTCTTCTTCGCGCACGACCTTGGTATCCGCACAGAGGGCACTTTCAGCCTGCGCTTCACCTTGGCCGACCTGACGTCACTCACCGTGCAGTCTGTCGTCAAGGATCAGAGCGCGCCGATCCTCGCGCGCGAGTTCTCGAGTTCATTCACCGTGTACTCGGCCAAACGCTTCCCGGGAGTGCTCCCAACAACGCGCCTGACGCAGTGCTTTGCGGACCAGAGTGTACGCCTCCCGACGCGTCAGAAGCGCACGTCGCCCACATCGGCGAGCAAGCGCAAAAAGTAGAATCGACTCTCCATCACATCTCAGCATATATTCTCTTTACTCTCTTTTCCCGCCCGGACCATATTCAACGCACAGTGACTTGAGGACACTATTCATTTTCGACAGATTACAAGTCTGACACTGCCGTCCCAGGACGGCGCCATCGTCGAGGACTGCTTCTTTCCGGTCTTTTTCTCTCTCCAGTTCAACTTTTACACTACCACTTTCACATCATAAACTGTAACAATACGGCTCCGCCTAGTATAAAGCCTGTCCCACTGTCCCCAGCACACCCATCACCATCATATGTGGGGCGCGCCAGCGCCCGCGCATGTACCAGCAGACTCCGCGCCCGCGGACTACGCCAGCTTACATGCTGTCGCGACCGCGGCCTGCACTGCTCTGCCGTAGCCTGCCACCATCACTGCACCACACCTATATAGTAACACTAGTCGCAAGTGGGAACTGAATGTATTTATTCTCCCGGAGACGTGGCGAACGAGCGTCGTGTGCCGTGCGAAGGCACAGCGGGCAAGCGTGTCATGCTTGATGCGACGTTGGCGACGGCGGGACGGAGAGCAGCGGAGGTCGGGCAGAAGGCGGACGTGATAAGCCTCAAGAGAACAACTGTAAACGAAGCGTTGAAACTTAGTCCAGCAGTGACAACCACGGACCTTGCACCACCTGTGCAGGAGGCTGCAAACCCCACCGCTGCGCCGGGTATCCATGCGTCCATTAGTGGCAGCCCGACCCATCCCTACGGGTCCAGGAGCGATGGCGTTCGAGCAGAAAAGCAAGGTTAACATGCTTTGCGTGCGCCACACCCTAGTCAAGCCACACCCTCTTCTCATTTGGCTGATCACGGGCCGCTTCAGCACTGATCGCCCGCCTCCGGGCTTTGCCCGGGAGGGTTAGCAGATGCGCAGTCTTCGGCTTTGTTACAGCTTCGGAGTTCTCAGTCCGACAACAGCTTGAGCAGAGTGGGGGGAAGGGGTAAGCGTGTCTTGTTCGTTGAAGGCAGCGTGCGCTGGCAGGCTCCTCGGCGTTCGGGAGATTCGTTCGGTCTGCCATCTCGGCGCGGAGCGCGGAGTCACAGGAACGACGTAGGGAGATGCAGCTAGCAGGAACGGATGTGGACAGTTCCTGGGCCTGTCTGCCTGTTCGCAGCGCTCCAATGCAGCGCTTCTACAGCCCTCTCAAGAAACGTAATCGCACGGAGAAATGTCACGCTTTGCATCCTCACAATTGTCTCGGCAGGTGTTCGGCGCCGTGTTCAATTGCCCTCCCCTTCTCACAGTATCCTTTGTAACTCCGCGGAGGACAGGTGACAATCTTTAACCGACGCACGACGTACGTACACAAAGGATGTCGCTGACATCTGAGGAAAAGGAAGACAGCCGCGCACTACGTCAGGCCTCTGTTTGAGGCGAGCGACACCGCGTGGAGCGCTGGGCGCGGACTCCTGACTTCCTCGCAGGGGAGACAGTGGGGAGGCTCGGTCCGAGATCCGAGCTGCCGGTTTCTGTCCGTGAATTGCCAGGGAGTGAGAGCTCTCCTCTGCTTTGAAGAGTGCAGGTGACATCTCGGTGGATTCCTGGAGTCCTTGGACCTGTCTATTCTTGGGCCTAGAAGCTGTGCTGAATGCTGAGAGGGAGGGAAGTGTGATGGCGTGCTCTTCGTTATCTCTGGCATCGGCTTAGCCGAATTAGAACGGATGGGGCCCGTTTTTCGGAATGACCTCCCACTCACTCATGGGTTGCTGAAGGGACTGACTGCATGGAGACTTACTCCGAGTGCTGGGTCGGTGGGTTCGGTGGGTTGGAAGCTTTCGAATGCGCCGAGTGCGCCGAGCTCCGAGGTGACCCACTGCTCGCTTGTCGTTTGAACGAGGCAGGTATCCCCGTACCAGACCGTTGTTCAGAGGTCAACATCCCAGTTCACGCACTCTCATTCGCATCTGTCTTCCTTCTCTTTTCTTCTTCTACTGGCCTCACACGCTCACTCGATTTTAGTCCGACAGCGGAGCAGTGGAGCATCGAAATGCTGACGTAGAGACAGCTGAGGCTGTCTGTCATCAGATGAATGTCTCGGGCGCTCCGCAACTCCGACACAGTCTCGGGGCACAATGGAGCGCTCGCTCCGCTCCTTCCGCTCTGTCCGCTGACGGCTGATTGCGGCGCCGCGACACAATCCGTTGTCTGACCTCTGTCCGTGTCTCACAGACCTTCACCGCTTATCCCCGCTGCACAAGGAGCTCTCTGCAACGATCCGCACTGTCACCAGATCGAGCCCTGCATCAGGTCAACGCTTGAGGGCAAACATGGATTGGGGAACGGCGAATGAAGATATGAATGGCAACGAGGGTGGTCACTCAGCGAGGAGCCATGCTCGACTTCGTATCGGATTCAACATTTCGGGCTTCGGCCTCACGCATCCCTGGTGGCTGACGCGCAGCCGGCCAGGCCTGATGGCTTGAGGGTAAGTGAATCAGGCCCCTCGGATCCAACCCACGGCTCTGGTCCCTTCTCAATCTCTCGATCCCACCTCAATGCTCATGCTCACTTATTGCACGCTGAATGGGAGTCCAGAATTCCAGCATTGTGCGCACTGACACTCTCTCTGACCCTCACATCGACGCGGTCTTAAGCCCGCATGGCCGCGACATTCACCTGCACGCTCGGGCCTCCCAGTCGAGACGATTGAGTGGATGGACGCAGCGTTCCCGACGGTTGGGAGGTAGGCGAGGCCCAGATCCGGACTGCGGCAACTGCAGTGGCAGCGATACTAGCAACGAAGGCTGCGTCAGCTCTCTTCATTAACCAAGTCAGTCGGAAACAAACTGACCGCAGAGTGTCGGGTCTCACTACTTCGCGCCGGGGATCCGGGGAGAGTCGCAAGCCAGGTCTAAGAGGCGGGCAGCTGGACACCGATGGCCGCGGCATGGCGCTTAGCTGGTGCCGGGCAGCCGGCTAGCGCCGACCTCACCAGCATACGAGATAGTGCGATGATGAGGAAGGCGACACTCAGTCAGATCACACCCACGTTCTCTCACTGGCTTTCGCTTCAATGTTCACTACATTGAGTGCAGTCCGTGGAAAGACAACTGTGACCGTTGATTCGAATGCTGTCGACCATGGGGTCTCAACTGGATCCATCTACAATAGCCGTTTTCGAGCGACTAACTAACGTGCTGACATAGAAGAGGAAATCAGCGTTAAGCCGTCCGAAAGTTAACCACCGGGTGGCAACGCGCGCCCAAGGTTGGGTTGAGGGTCTACTCCCGCCTTCTGTGCGTGATCTGTGCTCGCAAACGACTCATTTGGCGCGCTGGCGCCGCACTCGGAAAGCTCGCCGCTTCACTATTCTTTAGCAACAGTAAGGGGCCGCCTCTATGACCTGATTTGGTGTTCTTATCAGCGCGGCCTACGTCATTCCTGGCGCACTGATCGCAGACCGGGAGAAAGAACAGAAGCAGGCGTCTAAGAGCCGAGAAGGCGCAGGCTCGCAGGAGAGACTGTCCTTCGTGATCGGTGATCGCCTCAGCACCCAAATCTCAGGTAGGTCCCACAGCCACGCACGCGCACTTGTTCGGCCCATCTCTGTGAACTTCCATTCTTGATCCTCAACATGTGCTTCTGTCTCAGACTCACGCACCGCAGTACAAGTAGCCCTAGTCACTCTCCGCGGATCCGCGCGGCCTCTCGACGTCTCACTGGCAGACAACAATCAGAACTTGTTCGGTGTGGTCCCCTCCAGCCGCAGCGATTAGCGTGACAGGAGCATGCTCTTCAAATGACACACGCTCAATTCTCAAGAAACGAACTGCGGACGACGTGCTGCTGCGCTGCTGGGGATACGCTCGTGTGGGGCGGTGGCGTCCTTCCCTCGAAAGAAGCACACGGCGCCTTCCTTCGGACCCGATATTTTGGCTTCTGATCGCTTCTGATCGACCGTTGGGGGTCGAGAGAGGCCTGTGCAGCATGCAGCATGTGCAGCATGATCTCCCTTTCTGTGTCACGCGCACAAATGTGCACTGATCGTCAATCGCTCTCCAAACTACAACCCCAGCCCGTTGCGGCCGCGGAACAAGTTGTTTGCGACAGGACTCTCCAGCTCTTCACGCAATTTGAAAAACATGCAGGCTCGTCGGCTGCGCTCCGCAGAACCAAGCACTCTCACGCTTGCATTCTTGTTCTCCGCTGCGAGCTTTGAAGAGCAGTGTGCATGCCGCTTTGCTGAACCACTTATGTGTCGGTGCCCCCTTCCCGTGCTTTGTGCGCTCTCGAATAGCGCCTCTGCCGGTTGTCACTATCCTGCTTTCCATGCTCTTCGTTGTCTACAGCTGAAATAGCCGTAGCCTCCCAGTCGCCGTAATGTTAGTAGTTGCCGTTATCAGTGCAGGCAGTCGAGACTATGGTCGGTCGAGGTCGAGGTCCCCCTCGGGTCTCCGTCCATACAGTGATTGCTTTCCTTCGCCGACCCCTGAGAGCAAGAACTCGTCTCGCCAGAACCATGTCCGTAGCTCTGCTCCAACCCGTTCGCTTCGCTCGCTCGAGCTTGTGGCATTTCCATGCATCTTGGCTTCTTCGAATCTGGGGAATACACTACTTCCCTTACACGGACCCCGCTAGTACAGTCTGCGGGGCTTCCTCGCCAGTCAGATGCGCTGTGCGTACTGCCGCTCCTAGCGGCCGACGGCGAACCCGTACCGCTCGCCGGCGGAACGGGCCATGATCTCCTTGACAGGGCCGAGGAGACGGGTGAATGCCTGCTCGCCGAGGGCGGCGACGACGAGCTTCTCGGCCGCACGAATGGTCGCGGCACGCGTCTGGCGGTTCAGGAGCGCAAGCTCACCGAAGTAGTCGCCCTGGCGCAGATCCTTGGCTGCTGTGGGCTTGCCGTCGATCGTCTTCAGCGCAGTTGCGGAGCCTGCCTCGATAAGGAAAAACTCGTCGCCGGCCTCGCCCTCCCGGATCACATCCTCGCCGGCGTTGAACGTCCGCGACTCGAGCACGTCGGCAATCTTTGCGCGCTCCGCGGGCTGGAGCGAGGACAGGATCGGAACAGTCGACAAGAACGACTCATACAGGCGGCGCTTGCGCGAAGTGTGGTCGAGCAGAATCGTGCGGAACGAGACACGGTCAAGAGCCCACAGAGTGCACGGCGTGATGGACACGATGGAGACGGCACGGGGAGCGCTGCGGTTAGTTGAGATCTCCATCAATCAACTCACTTGTGCATGAGCGCAAGCTCTCCGAACGAGCCACCCTCCTTGTACTGCGCAACCTTCTTGCCGAGGTCAGGGCGGGGTCCGTCTCCAGGCTCGCCGTCGCGCTTGACGTAGACCTCGAGCTCACCGCTCTCGACGACGTAGAAGTAGTCTCCGGCGGCGCCCTGCTCGATGACAATCTCGCCGGGGCCGACCTTGACCTCCTTCATGGCCGCAAGCACATCAGCCTCCTGCTCCTCATCCAGGTTACGGAAGAGGAAGTTGGGCTTGATCGCGGCACGGATGCGCGCAAGCTGCTCCGGCGACTTGGGAATCACGGGCATGCTGGCCGGCGCCTCGTCCTCCTCTTCGGGGATGAAGGCGTCAACACCAGGCTGGAACGGGCGAGCGTGGGCCGGCACGAGCGATTCGGCCGACACTGACGTCCGGCGCCCAAGGGCGTACTGCGGAATGACGGGTTCGTCATCGCGGTGAATATCGTCGTCCTCGTCCTCCTCGGGCTGGGGAGGCGGAGGCATGCCGACAGGCGCAGAAGGCGTCTGCGCGCTGGCGCCGAACGGCGAGCCAGTTCCGAACGGAGAGTTGGAGCCGAAGGGTCCGCTGGGAGCGTTCTCGCTGAAGGGAGAAGAGTCGTTGGCGGGTGGAGGGACGGAGCGGTCGCCACCGCCGCCAAAGAAAGATGAGAACATGGACGACGATCCGCCAAACGCTCCTGCAGCGATCGTCGCTCGCCTGGGTCCACCGAACGGTCCGTCTGTCGGGCCGTGCTCAGAGAAGGGAGACAACGTAGCCGGGTGCGAGTCAATGTCGGGACGTCCAAAGGGTCCAAGTTTGCCAGGCGGCCCCTTGCGACTCGACGGAGAAGCGGCTTGGGTAGATCCGGAGCGCTGTGCGATGTTAGTTCTCTGCATGAACAAAGGGGAATCGCACCTCTTCACGCAGCTTGTCCTGGAACCAGTCGGCACAGAATTGGATAATGTCCGTGGGCTGTTCCCTCGACACGTCGCGGTTAAGATCGTTGAGGATCGCGGAGTAGGCCGGGTTCTGACCAGCCATGACGCAAGATTCGGAAATCGGTACAGATGTGGGAAGAAGGAGTCGATGGATGTGGTTGCTCGGTAGATCTGTTCAAACGAAGGTGAGCACGAGTTACCCCTTTCAAGTGAGGTGGGTGATGGGGCTTGATGGAGGCGTGGATGGGAGCGATGGAAGTGGGTTGGTGGGAGAAGGGCTGGGATCGACTCCACTTAGTTGCCGAGGGAAGGTAAGGGCCTGGCGTGGTCTAGGTGTTGCCGAGGAAGGAGGGTGAGTGGGTGAGAGACGGTGCGTTGGATGTCTCTGATTAGTTAGGGAGTGTGGGTGTGGGGATCGGCGATGGGGAGAAGGAAGGTGCAGATGGATGGGGGGGAGAGTGGATGACGGCGATGGTGAGAGAGAGTGTGAGGTGTGCGGGGGTGGTGGGTGTGGGACAGGCAGCAGGGCACGGCATCTGGTCCGGGCTGGAGATTGCAGGTCAGCGGCTCTGGGGCATGCCATGTATCAGCCAAGCACAAGCTCACGAGCAGCAGCAGCACGGGCACGGTGGCGTCACTCTCCAATTCACCACCCAGCCAGACTCACCCAATCAGCCCTCCATTTGCTCCCGCCCCTCCATGTGCATCCAGCTCTACATGCCTCCCACCCTCGACGCCATCAGCCACCCACCTCCACTCTCCCACACTCGCCCAGAAGCCAGAAGCCGCCCACCCTTCGTTGTATATATGGTTTACACGTAATGCGACTACGAAATCTTATCAGACCACCGGACGCGTCCCGGCACAGGGTTCACAGGGTACAGGGTCCATCCATGTTCGAGCCAGTTGCACGACATGCGTTGTATGGTCCGCCCATCCAGCACCGGTCGAAAGCTCGTCGATGAGGAGTCCTGCATGTTCGTCCCCCGTCTCCCTTGCACCCTGTGTTCTAGACGATGTCTCCGTCGCGCCGCGGCAAGACACCATCAGTCGTTGGCGTTCACCTTTGGCCACGTCGGGGCGCCTTTCTCCGCTCCATACGCTACTTGAATGACACCCTTGCGCTTGTCTAGCATGTCTAGACTAAAAGTGTGTTTCCGAGATCAGCAGCCAGGTGCTACCCACCCATACGGCTAGCCCCGCGCTCACAAAGCCGTCGAGACCGCAACACGACGGCGCGGCATACGGCAGCTGCCCGCACTGGTGCATGCTGCCGTTTCCACTGGACAGACTGGCGGCGAAGCGAACGGCTGCTGGTGGAGCGGAAGTCAAAGGTGGGAGTAGTGAGACTATGTCTGTTCTCTGTTCCGACGAACGTGAGGCTATGTCTTGCGGAAAGCCGTTGAATGGGCGCGCATGACCTACCTACCTAGGACGGCTGGATCCTGACCACGACGCGTGAACACAAATCGGCCGTGCCTGAGGTCTGTATGCCGACATGCTGCAATATCCCACCGGGCTCGCGGGCACACCCCTCTGCCCCTTCCCACTCGTGACCTCCCTGCGGTCAGGCGCGACCTCCCTTCGCTACCACCACTGTTGACCGTCTCTCCAACTTACTCCCATCGACACTTGCTCCCCATAACCATACCCATCGCACCCACCAGCGTCTTGTCAATTCGCCCGTCACGCGCCGTTCATCGCGTACTTTCAGACCACGTATACCCAGATGAACGGCGGCTCGACTGAACCACTTTGAACCGCCTTCCCCCTTTGCCCCCCAACTGACGGTTCCTCCCCTTCCTCACACCGCACTCGACAACGGCCGCCACTGTTACGCCAACCCGCACGGCCCGACCATGCTTCGCGGCGACGACGGACTCTCCGACCTTGTCAGAAAGGTCGTCAGCCTTACCCTCGACTCCAACTCCACTAACACTACGACGGAGCCTACGGCCGACAGCGTCTCACAGACCCCGAGCGCTTCAATTTCTTCAGTCGGCAACCCGACGACGCAGTCGCTGCACACGCGCGATCAGTCATCGTCCTCGATCTCCTCCCTCTCATATTCGAATGCTTCTGGTTCCGGAGGTCCCCAACGACCCAGACGCTCCCCATTACGCCGCAGCAAAGCAGGAAGCGTCCGCCTAGGTGGCGACGTCACGTAGGTGTCACCTTTCAGTCTTCACTTCTCCACTTGCTTCCCACCCGTCCACCCGCACTTCCCGTCTCCTGTTGCCGAACCTTCTGCTAATCACATTCACAGGGCGTTAATGCTCGAGATCGACGCGCTGCAGTCTCAGGTCGCGAACTTGCTCGATAAGATCTATGAAATCGAAGAGTTACGGCACTCGACATCAGTGCGTTCAGCACACGCTAAACTCGACGCTCTCATATCCGACCTTCACGAGACGATCGCCCACATTACCCCCAGGATAGCGGCACTCGAGGCGTCCGCAACGTCTCCTGATGTCCAAGAAATGCTCGCCCCGCTTCTCGCCGACTGGCAAAAGGTGACGAAGCAGCACAACCTTTTGCAACGCGAGCTTCAGGAAGACCCGTGGCTCATAAGGTTCAAAACGTAAGGCGTCGCTATGGGCACATTCCAGGGCACTAACCATCGCAGGACGGCCGACCAAGCAGATGGGATGATGGACCCGTTGAGCCAGAGTCTGAGCCGAGTAACTGTGAGCTCGACCGCTACCCAGATCATAGCTGACCGCAGGCTTATATCGGACGCATCCTGGGTTCGGTGAACGCGGTGCCGCTCAGTGCCCCGGAGGGCAAGCTCAGCATTGGCCACTTCCGCGAGATGACCGAGGCGCACTCGCGGCTGAAATCGTGAGTGTACATTGCGTGTGTCGTTGATACGACGTGTGTGCGTGCGCGTGTGTGCTGACGTGCGCCAGAACCTACGTGCCAAGTGTGAACAGGATTCTGAAGATGATGGACAAGAGTGTCTCAGATCGCCCGGTCAAGAACGGGGAAGCACTGCGACGATTGAACGACATGAACCAGCGGTGGAAAACAATGCAGAAGCAGCTGAGCCAGCTGGAGTCGAAGATCACCATGGTCATGCAGCAATATGACCCCGACCACTCGCCAGACGATTCGATGGAGATGTTGAGCCCCGACGGTGGAGGCTACTTTGGCGGGTCCCCGACGGTCTCATCGAGCCACTCGTCGTCGCATGACACCAGCACACCGCTGCATCGCGTCACGAGTGGGGGGTCCATGAACTCGATGAGCTCCTATGGAGGGTCATCGTTCTCTGCCCCGTATGCCAACTCGCAACACCACCATCAGCCCTCCCACAGCCCGCATGCCCAGCACATCCAGTACCAGGTGAACAACCACCATCAGCCGCTGAAGACGAACAACAACAGCATGAACCACGTCTCGCCACCGGCGTACAAGCCGACGCCGCGTGGCCTCAGCAAGTCGGTATCCACCATGAATGTTCGCGCTCTCGGAACGCCTGCAGTGGCGCAGCGGACACCGTCGCGGCAACAATTACGGCCGCCGTCTAGGACAGCGCCGAGGACGTCCCTGAGCCAGTCGCAGTCGGTCGCTACGTCGCTCAGCGCCTTAGCGGCCTCCCCGTCCGATCGGTTACGGAGGGTGGGTTCTTCGGCGATCCCCCAGCTGTCGTCGTTCGGGTCGCCCGCTACACCTGCGAATGGCGGCAGTGGATTCCGGCGTCCGAGCCTCGCCCCGAGTAGTGCCTCGGGAAGGATGACGCCCGGCCCGCTGAACCGGCGTGCGATGACGCCTGGTCCTGGTGTCGGCGAATCTCCGCCATCGTCGTTGACGGGCATGCCGACTCGGCGCGGCGGTGCGCTGCCGCCCATGCCCGGACGAGCGAGCAGCCGTCCATCGTTCGCGCCGCAGCACGGAAACCGGTCCATGATCGGCCCCTCGTCGTTCCGTCCCACCTCACCGGCCAGTGTCGGGCGCCCTAGTAGCCGCGCCTCGGTCAAGTCGTCGCTGAGCTCACGGATGCCGCAGGGCCCTGGGTTCGGGGTGCAACCGTTCCGGCCGAGCAAGTACGACGAGCTGGACCTGGCAGTGCAGAAGGTGCTGGATGCGGTCAAGCCGTCCATCTTTGTCGCGCGCCTCGACCCTCCCCTGCGCCGTGGGCAGCAGAAGGCGGAGGGAGAATGGACCGGCGAGTTCGTCTTCGGCTACGGTGAGCGCAGCAACGCAGTCAAGCTGCTCGAGATGAAGAGCCGGGGGATCGAGAGCCGGTTCAAGGTCATGGTCCGCGACGGCGGTGCGTGGCAGGACCTGTCGCCGTTCCTGGAGAAACGAAACAGGATGGCCGAGGCGGATGTGTTCTAGTGAGCCAGTGTCGAGGTTGCGAGGAAGAAGTCGCGATTCTCCATCGAGAGCGAGGAGTGAGCAAAAAGCCCGCGGGCAGCAGTACAGAGTGCGGATGCGTCCCGAAGCAGTGAAAGTAACGACCTGTGATCCACCAACCTGTATGCATAGCGTGTGTTCTAAACCTTCTAAACCTGCACTTCCTCCATCTCCTCGTCCTCGTCCCCCTCTCCCTCACTATCCCCGTCCTTCTCCTCATCACTCTTAGGACACGGCGGGATATCGTACTCGGGCAGTCCGCCGAGTGGCAACCCCTCATTCGGTCCAACAGGTCCCTGCTGCTTCTCAATCTCGGCGAGCGGTCTGTCGAATAATCGGAGCACGCACCCCTCCCACCCGTCCCTCTCCTCGGCCGTCGTCTCGTGCCCCTCATCCCCCGCTGGTCCCAGCACCTCGCCGCCGAAATCGCCATAAGGCCGCGCCCAAGCGAGCACCTTCTCCTTGCCCAGCTGCAGGACACTGCGCAATCGGATCTGTGACGTTGGGTCGACCAACGGTTGCGCTGATTCAGAGTGAGGCGAGTGGGGGTGGGAGTGTGCATGCCCAATCGAGCCTCGGAACATATCCAGAGTCAACGGATCTTCGCCATCATAGATCGCCTGCGAGAAACGGCGGGGGACGTGCCACCCACTCCCAGTCAGGAGAGCAAGCCAAGCAGCGTCCACCTCGTCCAGGAGCTTGAGGTAGTCCTCCATGATCTCGCCTGCTTTGCTCTCCAGCTCCTCCGCTTCGTCCATACTTTCTCCTGGTGCTGGAGTCCCGTCTGGTCCCGGCGTCCCCGTTGCTGAAGAAGGAAGTGTCATTAGCGGAAGGCTCGTGGTAGAGTCGAGCAGTAGTGAGGTGAAGGTGAGAAAGTACGCCGCCCTCGCGCCGGACAGGGAGTCGGGGAGGGCGAGGATGGCCCCCAGCAGGGATCTCAGGCGAGGGACTAGCGGCGCGAGCTCGAGGTTGCTTATGTCAGCTTGTTCTAGGCGTCTGTGAGCTGTAATGGGGGGACGTACTGTTTCTTCGTATCCCGCTCTAGGTGTCCGATCTGCTCGTCGAGGAAGAGACGAAGGCGCGCCTCGTGCGCTGGGGAGAGGTTTGGTGCCATTCTTGTTCAGGCTGTATGGCTTTGCGTCACTCTCTCCTGTCGTTCGTAGTTTCTTATGCACACACTGGTGCTGCCTTTCCTTCCAGAGAGCCGAGTTGCGTGGGATATGTCTATGCGTAGGGGTTGCGAAGTGTATGTAGTGGGAGGAGGGTACGAACCAAATACCACTCACCCAAATGGTGCCGCCGGATTATGACGCACATGGCGAGAAGCAGGTGACTGGACCACTCGTCGCCGCTCGCCGCTCGAAATGTTCGAAGCCACTCTCTCGCCGTCACTCAACACTTTACGTCCTCACACACTACCCATATCCCGACTCCTCGGCTTACCTCTGTCAGGAAACCCTCGCCTGCTCAGCGGTCCGTGATCAGCGCTCCCCGAATACGGAATCCGTGGTTCGCCGTCATCTCGATCGGCGAACAGAGGGGGAACAAAACCTCCACCGGCTTCGTCTTCCTCCACACTCCTTTGTACTCGACTCCGACTTCCCACTTATCTTCCTCCTCAACTACAATCTCCTCACCCATCGAAAGACTTGGCATCGTCGGCTAAGCTTTGGCCTCGGGCATACTGAACCGGCCCACGGGCACCATCCGCCATGAAGTTCATGATTGACGACCTGCCGGTCCTCTTTCCGTATGAGAGGTGAGCTGAGCACGACCTTGCCTTGAAGCTAACGTCAGATTGTATCCGGGTAAGTCTGCCTCATGGTCTCGACTTATTGGCCGGTCTCCCCATGCTACCGCCCCGGCCTGTAACCATTGTGGTAGTGCACGCCGATAAGGACCACGATGTGCTTTGCTGTTGGGCAGGGCACGAGGAAGGCCCACGACAGCTAAAGGTGTGGACACGTGCGAGCTGACAAAACAGAACAGTACAGCTACATGTGTGACCTGAAGAAGACGCTTGATGCTGGGGTGAGCTTTGATTATCTTGTCGTGAGCTGACAGCAGGGACACTGTGTACTGGAGATGCCGTCCGGAACAGGGAAGACAGTATCCCTCCTCTCGCTCATTATCTCGTACATGCAAGTGAGTAGACTTATGCCAGTGTCCGGTGTGACGAGCTGTCAGGGTCCCGCAAGCCTAGCTGACATCAGTTCTACGGAGGAGAGAAGAAGCGCAAGCTGATCTACTGCTCGCGAACAGTGCCCGAGATCGAGAAGGCGCTCGCAGAGCTGAAGCGGCTGATGGAGTACCGCGAGGACATGGGTGCGAAGGACACTGGATTCCGCGGGCTCGGTTTGACGTCGCGCAAGAACTTGTGTTTGAACCCGGAGGTAAGCTTCAAGATCTAGTCGCAAGCTAACGTCAGGTCAACAAGGAGAAGAAGGGCAAGGTTGTCGACTCGCGGTGTCGCGACATGACGAGCTCGTTTGCGTGCGAGAAGGGCCGCGCCGACCCGGGAAGCGTGCAGTTGTGCTCGTGGCATGAGGAGCTGAACAACTACGAGCCGGGCCATCTTATCCCCGAGGGCGTGTGGACGCTCGACGATGTGAAGAAGTATGGACAGGAGAAGGGCGTGTGCCCCTACTTCACGATCCGAAGAATGGTGAGCTAGAGACGTGGTGGATGTAGCTGACTTTCAGATGCCCTACGTCGATGTCATCATCTACTCGTTCCACTACCTCCTCGACCCGAAGGTTGCGGAGCAGGTTTCGGCTGAGCTCAGCAAGGAGGCGATCGTCGTGTTCGACGAAGCGCACAACATCGGTGAGCTCACATATGCAGGCTGAGCTGACACCAGACAATGTGTGCATCGAGTCTCTGTCTATTGATCTGACTCGACCAATGCTGGACTCAGCAGCGAGGAGTGTTGCCAAGATCGGGGATAAGATCGACGAGTGAGCTCAATAGACAGTTGGCATGAGCTGACGCCAGGATCAAAAAGTCGGACGCGGAGAAGCTGAACGCCGAGTACCAGAAACTCGTGGACGGATTAGCGGCGGCGAACGACCGACGAGAAGAGGACGACATGCTTTCCAACCCGGTGCTGTCCGAGGACATGATCCAGGAAGCGATCCCGGGCAACATCCGCAAAGCGGAGCACTTCATCGCCTTCCTCAAACGCTTCATCGAGTATCTCAAGACGCGAATGCGAGTACTGCACGTTGTCGCCGAGACACCGCAGTCCTTCATGGCGCACCTGAAGGAGATCACGTTCATCGAGAAGCGGCCTTTGCAGTTCTGCGCGGAGCGACTGACATCGCTGATCCGCACGCTCGAACTAACCAACCTCGACGAGCACTTTGCTCTCCAGAAGATCGCGAGCTTCGGTACTCTCGTCGCGACGTATGAGAAGGGTTTCCTCCTTATCCTCGAGCCATATGAGACGGAACATGCGACGGTGCCAAACCCGATCTTCCACTTCACGTGAGCTAAGCTCACTCTGCCTCCTAGCTGACGATTTCAGGTGTCTCGACCCGTCACTAGCGATGGCGCCTGTGTTCGAACGCTTCAGCAGCGTCATCATTACGTCGGGAACCATCTCCCCGCTCGACATGTACCCGAAGATGCTGCAGTTCCAGCCCGTCATCCAGGAGTCGTACCCCATGACGCTTACACGAAACGCCTTCTTGCCCATGGTTATCACCCGTGGTAGCGACCAGGTGCCGATCAGCTCGCGCTTCGAGGTGCGAAACGATCCCGCCGTCGTGCGAAACTTCGGCTCCATCCTCATTGACATGGCGAAGACCGTGCCGGACGGCGTCGTCGCTTTCTTCCCGTCGTATCTGTACATGGAGTCGATCGTGAGCGCGTGGTACGACATGGGTATCCTCAGTGAGGTTTGGAAGCACAAGCTGCTCTTCGTCGAGACGCCGGACGCAATGGAGACATCGATCGCGCTGAAGAACTACAGAGAGGTGAGTAGCTTGGGAGCTGTTGCTGCGTAGCTAACGCCAGGCGTGCAACAATGGCCGTGGCGCTGTCTTGCTTTCCGTCGCTCGAGGAAAGGTCTCGGAGGGTATCGATTTCGACCACAATTACGGACGAGCAGTCATCATGTTCGGGTGGGTAACCTCAGCTGCCGGTATCCTGAAAGCAGCTGACATCGCAGCATCCCGTACCAGTACACGGAGAGCCGTATTCTGAAAGCGCGTCTCGAGTTCCTGCGCGACAATCACAGAATCCGCGAGAACGACTATCTCACTTTCGACGCGATGCGACATGCTGCGCAGTGCGTCGGTCGTGTACTCCGAGGAAAGACGGACTGGGGTCTCATGGTGTTCGCTGACAAGGTGGGTGACTCTGCAGCTGCGTTACCTCAGAAGGGAAGCTGACTCGCAGCGCTTCGCTCGTCAGGACAAGCGTGCCAAGCTTCCGCGCTGGATCAACCAGTACATCACGGACGCGCACAGCAACCTGTCGACGGACATGGCGGTGGTGCTCGCGAAGAAGTTCATCCGGAACATCTCGCAGCCGTTCGACCACACGCAGACAGGTATCTCGCTCTGGACGCTCGAGGACATCGAGGAGCGCCAGCGCAAGGACAGGGAGGAGGCGGAGCGCGCCGGCGCCATGGTCGACGACGCCTTCGGTCCCAGCGTCAGCAACGGCGACAAGGCGCCCGAGGACGTCGACATGGACGGCCACTTTGACATTGATGATGCGGCACTCGCTGCTGTCGACATGCCCGACTAGACAGAGACGTGGGGATCTATCATGATGCATTTGTTATGGTTTTTAGTTGTTTGGCTTAGAACGAGTTGACCTGCTTCGGGTCGTCGCGTCCGGCGTAGAACTTGTCGAGGAACGCGACGGGCTTGGCGGGCTCCTCGTACTTGCGGAACCAGTGCATGAGGTGGGGCTGGGTGTCAGCTTGCGCCTCACAAATGTAGCTGTGACGGAAGGGCAGAAAGGAGCAACACCGGGCGCTCTCCGGGATGACATCGGAGGAGCGGGCCGCTTGTTTATCGAGAAGAACGTCGTGTGGAGCGGGTAGTTCGAGGAGCAGCACAGAAGGCGTCGTCGTTCGGGTGACAAGGGCCGAGGTGCCGTCAACCACCTGAGAGACCAAGCGGTGCCATCAAGTCCTAAGAGGTCCGGGAAGAGAACGAAAGCTCCCTCTCATCCCCTCGCGACATCATGCCATCGCGGGCCGAGTCCCTCCTGGCGTTTCTCGAGATCCTAACCCTCCATCGCCCATTGCATTCCTGCCATGCGGTTCCCGAGTTGTCGTCGAAGTCGGTAGCCCATGTACAGGTCCATCGTTTTCGGAGGTGTAGAATGTAGATGACGAGATAGCCCAGAATCCGCCTGTGTAACCCCTTTCTTGCGTTTCGTCGTCCTTCCGTCCGCCTAGTCGGCTCCGGCGATGACTCCTCCTCTTTCCTGCCTGTCGTCTTCTCCGATGCTTCCATGCCCTGCCCTTGTCTCCAACTCGAGTCTCAACTTACCTCCTGCTTCCAGCAGTTCATGGTCTCCTGGTACTCCTGCTGGTTCTTGTGGAGAAGGACGTTGATGATGTTAAGGTCGTCAATCTTGCGGTTGCGCTCAAAGTCCTGGCGAATCTTGAGGCGGACAGCCGAGGGGGAGACGTTGAGGGCGTAGAGCGCGCAGATCTCGGGGGCGGACCGGTACCAGGCGCGGTAGGCGCGGATGACGCGGGTGCGGGCCTCGGCGTGCGACGTGACGGTGCGCGCGAGGCGGGCGGGGATCGTGGGCGTGATGGCCATGGTGTGTGGTGTGGGAGAGGTAGAAGGGAGCGCCGGTGTTGAGCCGTGCAGGTGTGCGGCTGAGCGGAGCTGGGCAGGCGACGGAGCCTGCCTGGGAGACAGCGACCGCTGGCCAGTGAGCGTCGGAGAATTGGTCGTTCGGGGGAGTGTGGCAGATGCTCCCGTTGCATTAGTCTGTGGACTAATTGGGCCACGCGGTATAACAGTTTTGTAGTGCGGATTACAATTCGAGTCAAGACGGGACCAGACGGCTGGGAAGGCACTTGCCACCAGACGTCAGTCAAGGTCGACAACATTTCGGCTCGATCACCACACCACAACTACCCCATCCGACAACATGCCGCCCCGCCGCGCGACAGGGCAGCCCGAGGGCCAGCCGCCCGCGAAGAAGCCCGCCATGGACCTGGAGGCGATCAAGGCCAAGGTCGCGGCGCAGAAGCAGGCGCTGCAGGCCCGTCTCGCGAGCGCCAAGTCGACCTCGAGCAGTCCGAAGCCTGAACTCGGTCCCGCTGCGCCGCCGCCATCAGCCGCACCGGCGGCCGCGAAGAACGACGATATTGCCGCCCGCATGGCCGAGGTGCGCGCCCGCATCAACGCCAAGAAGGGCTTGCTTGCCGGTGCTGCTGCTGGGCCCTCGCGACCAGACAGCAGGGAAAGCCGCGACTCGAGGGACTCGAGGGGAGGATCGGGATCCGGGTCGCCCGCCCCGTCAGCTCCGACATCGGTCTCGGGCATCGGTGGGGTTGCACTGCACCCGCTCCTCGCCGGCGACGTTGGCCCGAGTGAGCAAAAGGAGAAGAACGAGAAGCGCGCCATGGCGAACCGGTACAAAACCATGGCGCCCAAGTTCTCCTCTGTGCGCGCGAATGCTGCTGCGGTCGAAGCGGCCGCCCAGCAGGCTGAGAAGAGCGGGGACAAGACGTCTGCGGTGATCACGAACCCGTACGCTGCGCCCGCGCTCGATGAGGAGGGTCAGGAGCTGAGTGCCGGACCGAGCAAGCGGTCAGGACGCAAGATGCAGTTCTCCGCGCCGGGCAAGTACGTGAAGCAGGGCGACCAGCTGCGTAACGAGGCGAAGCTCGAGGCGCTGAAGGCGCGCATCGCGGAGCAGTCGCGCAAGGCCGGTCTCGACTCTGAGTTTGACGTGCTCGAGCGCTCGCTCCGGCGCCAGGCGCCGCCAGCCGTCGAGTGGTGGGACGAGGCGATCCTGCCCGACCCGACATACGACAGTATCCCGTCCGCGCTCGAGTACATCGAGACGAACCCCGACTCGCTCGTGACGCACCTTGTCCAGCATCCCATCCCGATTGTCGCCCAGTCGGACCGGAAACAGGCCGAGCGCGGCCTGATGCTGACAAAGAAGGAGGCGCGCAAGATGCGCCGCCAGCGCCGCCTCGCCGAGCTCGAGGACAAGCGGGACAAGCAGAAGATGGGCCTCATCCCGCCCGACCCGCCCAAGGTCCGTCTCGCCAACATTGTCAAAGTGCTTGCGAACGAGTCGAGCGCCGATCCGACAAAGATCGAGAACCAGGTTCGGAAACAGGTCGCGATGCGCGCGATCCGGCACGAAAAGGACAATGCTGCGCGAGCGCTCACGAAGGAGCAGAAGCGGGAAAAGCTCTACGCCAAGCTCGAGGAGAAGGAGAGGCGGCAGGGTCTCGTCGCATCAGCCTACATTGTGAAACACCTCACGAACCAGCGGCACAAGTTCAAGGTCCGCCAGACGGCCAAGCAGGACCACCTCACGGGTTGTGTGCTCTTCACGCCGACGTTCTCCATCGTCCTCGTCGAGGGTGTCGCCAAGATGGCGAGGCACTACCACCAGCTCATGACGCACCGTATCGACTGGACGGAGCAGCTGCGGCGGCGGGACGGGGACGAGGACTCGGACGACTCGGGCAGCGAAGCTGGGGACAAGGAGAAGAAGGACGACGAGGAGGACATCGATCTCAGCGACAACAAGTGCGAGCAGATCTGGCACGCAGAAGTCCCTGAGCGTGTCTTTGGAGGATTCATTGCGCGCCACGCCGAGACGGACGCGAGAGGGAAGGATATCCTAGGGCCCAAGTATGAGCTGCTCTGGGACCTCGCGAAGCGGTGGACGTACGGCGGCGAGGAGTTCTAGATTCCTCGTCTCCCACGGAGGAGCTGGCGAGCGATGTCGGGTGGCAGTTGGACCGCATGTCGCTTGCGTCGGGGCAGTCAGTCCGGCGGCGAAAGGATGAGCTAGGCGCACTTGGCAGTCTAGTGCAGCGGAAGATCTGGTTGGAGGCGGTGTAGTCGTGATCATTATGCATGTAATACAACGGATAGTGGTACAACAGCCGAGGGTTTCTCCTGGCAAGGCAGTCGCGTCGCGCTCAGCGCTCAGTTCGAAACAGAACGATCAATCTAGCACTCGAGGCTGACGCCGTGCACGAGGCTGTGGTCGCCGAGGCGTCCCTTGGCCATGTGGAACGCCTCCTTTGCGTCCTTCATGAGCCTTCTGCCGCCACCGGGGAGGAAGCGCGTAACGGGGTCGAGCCCGTTGGCCCAGTGCTCGTGCCGTCCCTCACCCTCGTAGATGGCCGGCATGCCGAAGGTGGTGACTGCCGTGCGGTGCGGGGTGTGGTCCGAGATGAGCACGGCCAGCGCGCCGCCGAGTCCGTGTCCCGTCACCTCCACGGAGGGGCAGCGGCCGAACCATCGCGACCAGCGTGAGCAGCGGGGGAGGTGGGAGAGGAGAGCGGCGTAGGCTGACTCGGCCGAGAAGGCGAAGTCGTGGAACGAAGGGTGGAGGCGCGAGAGGTCGAGGCGTGGTGACTCGTCGTCCTCCTCGATGTCTTCGGACTCCTCGGAGTCCTCGTCGGTCGACTCTGTCGACTCGTAGTCGTCCTCGACGTAGTCGCCGAAGGTGACCTGGTTGTTATCCTCCGTCATGCGCTCGAGGAGCTCGTCGACGTCAATCGAGCCGAGAGACAGCCGAACGCGGTCGTTGTGTTCCGTCAGGGTCCCTGTTGGTCAGCTTGCGTTCCGAGCACGAAAGCGGGTGTGTTGTTGTGGTAGATCCATTCCGGCGCCGATCCATCCCCTCTGAATGCTGAATGGGACGTGGACGCGAGTATGCGAGCCCAATGGACATTCAGAAAGCAAAGGAAGGCTGACTGCATTTTGGCGGGCCAGTCCAATCCACAGGCTGCGTCTGGAATACATTCGCCGGTCGAGCTAAAAGCTCGACGCTAGACGAGGCGGGGCAGGGCGGGCCCGCCATGGATTTCAGCCAGCGAACCGCCCATCGTTCAGCCAGATGTCTATTCCAGGTGCTCCGTCTGGCTTGTGCCGAGGAGGCGCCGAGACGAGGCTGCCATTGAATCACGGCTGTACACGGTAGTTTTCGGTCCCCCGCTGCCCATCTCGATCCATCTTCTTCGTTTGCTCGTAACCGATCCGAGGTTTGGTGCAAACGTATGCAGTCCTTCGCCGACCGACGACTCGCTGCACCCCAGTGCAAGATGCAGCAGCAGGTGAAGCGAGCACGGCGACGGCGTAGAAGCAATCCCAGGTCCCATATTAGACACAGGGAGCGCGGGGTTGAATGGGTGGCAGATGGGTCGGCAGACCAATATACCCGGCTGGAGACAGTTGCCGCCGAAAAGAGCCCTGGGCAGAGCAGAGAGAACACTCACACTTGACGTCGTCGTCGGCGTGGGCGCGGGCGAGGATGCGACCCTCGACTTGCTCGGAGAGACAGTAAGAGGATCTGGGGTCAGCTTGATCCAGCCTTGTTCAGCTCACTTGATGGATCTCGCAAGGTCCTCGAGTCGCTGGGGGACCGGTGCTGCGGCGGTGGCAACGGCGGCGAGAAGGAGGGCAGGGAGCATCGTCGTCGTTGTCTCCTGTCGTCGTCGGCTGGCGAGAAGATCGAAGGAGAGTGTGTAAGTGTGTGTAAGGGAAGGCGTGTGTTGGGGTGCAAAGTGGAGTCACGAGAGGAAGTGGGAAAGTCTTATACCGCAACTACACAATGCAGACTGGAAGCGACGGCAGGACCGAGCAAGTGGATCGGTGTGTGGTGGGTGTGGATCTGGGCGGGTCAGGGGGGCCCAGCCTGGCCTGAGAGGGAAGGACAGCTGACATGAAACGGGACGCGAGTGACCCTTAGATTTACCTCGTACCCGCGCTCTGTGGGCCCGTCCAGCCCGCGTCCAGGCATCCCAGGCCTTACTCTCGGTAACAAACTCAAGCACCCAGTGGTACGGACATGGTATTCAGGAAACTCTCAATTCAGACTAAGCGTGGGCCAGCATCATGTCTGCAGGCAGCTTTACGTACCGACGTTCAATGTCGGTCCACGCGGGGAGCTCGACGGTATGTGCGACGTCCACCTTGTACCACCATTGTACCACTTTGTTCTAGCCCACGGGCCGTGGGTCGCCTGAGATGGCCCAGGACGCCGGCGCCAGTACTGCACAAGGGTACAAACCTGAACGCCGGGCTGAGTCTCCTGTCTGAGCCTCCTGAGTCGGACCAGCGACGCACAGCGAGTGGATCGTGAGTGCGCGCAGCCTAGCGCTGGGCTGTGACGTGAGGGGTCTCGTAATACTTTCGCCCTAGCTCACCCTCCCTCCGTCCATACCCGCTGTTGCTATTGGACTCCGAACTGCCAGACTTGCCGCCTTCGTCAGATCATTCAGTCGCGAGACGCAGATGCAACTCAGGCGACTCACTCGCCCCTCCCGTCGCCCCGACAGTTGCCTGTGCAATGGCATTTCTTCACTGCTCTGAGACTCACCGGTGACTTGATGCCCGTGCAGAATTGACTGCAGCTCATTACGTCTAGCACTGCGACGAGAGGGGATGTCCCATTGATCTGGCCCAGCATTCATATTCGCTTCATATGCGCTGCGTGTGCATGCACTATGAACTCCGCTGAGACTCTGCGAACTCATTGCTTCCCGCCATTGACTGCTGACGTATCGCTCCAGCTCTCTGACGTTATCGCCCAGCACACAGCAGACGTTCCTGACACAAACCCAACACTTCCGATATACCAAGCTTCCAGTCAAAATACAGATACATGCTTACAGTGCTCACATGGCTCCCCCTGTCCCTCTCGTTGCGTGTCGCATATCGCACCGCCGCAGCTTCTTTGGTACGCCGCCGGCTGGCAGCGTACCCACATGTCTGCGTACGGCCAGTCGCGGATCGCCGCTTGGCTTTAATTCCAGCGCCGTGTCTGTCGCTGGACAAGTCTATCGTGGACAGAGTTTCCGTTCCTGCGCTCCAGCGCTTCTCTGCCGGTGAGGCCTGGTGACTACCAGCTGTCGAGGCACCATCGCTCGTGGGATCTTGGGGGGTTCCAACAGTAACCAAGTTACCAACTCTACTCAACTACTACTCTACTCGCAGCTGGGGCTGACTACGCTTGCGGCTGCGGCTGTGCCGACTGCATGAGCTCGGCAGCGAGTCCAGCACCGCTGCCCAGCCCTGCGCCGGCCGCGCTCGCCGCATTGACTTCGGCGTCACGGGTATCACGCTTTAGCGGTGGCAGGCCTCGAGTTGCGCGCCATCGGTTCGTGATGGCATACACTTCGTCGTCGACCAGAATCCTGCGTGTCAGTTCAAGTGCCTCGCGAGGAGAACTGGTAGTATGGCTTACTTGAACTGCGTCAGCCACTTCTCGGATGCCTCCCAGTTCCGGTGATCGAGCGCATCATCGCCGTGCAGAGTGAACTGGAGTTAGCTCGGATCACAGACGTCGAAGCTGATGTGCTCACCTCCGTAACATAGCCATGAAAGGCTTCGAGCAGGTCATAACGCCCGCGAAGCAGAATCATGCGGTCGCGCACTGAGGGGAACAAGATACCATCGATCGCATGCTCGTGCGGTATCGTCTGCTGCACCGGAGTCGGGCGGAGCGAGGGCGGGAGCATGTACTCGTGGTTGATGCGGAAGCTGTAAGCGGTTAGTTCTCGCACCATTGTTCAACCTCGTTGCACGCCAAACGTACTTGTTCAGGTGATATGTGATCAGCTGCAGTGCCTCAGTCTTGCGCTCAGCCGCCTCCTCGCCTTCCATGCTCTGGCGGAGCTCTTCTTGCATGCGTCGGCGCTCCTCGACCTGGCCGCGCGTCATGTTGTTCGGCTCCGTGACGATGACGCTGCCTTGCCGGTCAAGGGGCGCCTTGTCCGAGCTCGTGAGCTGCGCCACGGCGCTTCGAAGGTTGTTGCGCTCGCTCTCGGGCGACAGGCCGGCGACGCCGGTCATCTGCCCCGGCGCCTGAGGTGGCGGAGCGGGCATCGTTGCCTGTTGCGTGGTTGCTCCTGGTGGACCGGTGTACAGCCCAGGGAAGGCAGAAGGACCAGGTCCACCGACGGCCGTGGCCTCGGTCGTGAACAGGAAGTTCCACATCTCGCCGTGGTTGACGGGGTTCGAGGCGCCAGCGCCAGATGAACCCGGTGTGCTCGCGGGCGTCGCGCCGCGTACGCGCTTGTCGCTATCGCCGCCCTCGCTCTCGCGCTTACGCTTGGCCTGGGCAGCCGCGCTCAACGGCGTGCCGATAAGACTGCCCGCACCAGCAGACGAGCCGGGCTCGGCCGTCGAGTCACCGCGCTTCCGTACCTGGCCCAACGGAATGCCGGGATTCGCCTCGCCGAGCTCCTTGCTTGCCTTGAAGGAGACGAACGCCTCGTACGCCGTGTCGCTGTCGGCGCGGTTCAGGATGGACTCGAGCTGCTCGTTGCTGAGACCGAGGCGAGGAAGACACGAGCCGAGACCTTCCCCGACGAACGACGCCATGTTCTTCAGCATCCCGCGCAGCTCCTTGTTCTCCTTGAGGAGATTGCGGATCAGAAGCAACATGAGCTCAACGCGCTCCTCCTTGTCTCCAGAGAGCACCTCTACGCGGGCCTCGAGGTCGCGAATCTGTCATGAGCTAATGAATTCATGCGACACGGTGCGAAGCTCGACTTACGTATTGCTGTTTGTCAGTTTCTGCTACGAGTTCGTTCAACTCACTTGTTTCCTGAGACGAAACTCTCGTTGCGCGATACGGTTCTGTGCTTTACGAATCTGGGACGAACTGGCACTATCAGCGTGGTTACTATACTGCACGTGTCTCTCTCGATTGCCTCTATCGCAGATCAGTCGGCGGCGGCACGCGGGGCTTGCGGGCAAGGCCAGCCAGCGCAGGGAAGGTCCATCTCTGCTGCAACCCGAGCAGTCTGGGATAGCCGAGCGTGACATGCGATAAGAGACGAGGCTGCGGCGTCTTCTTTGGCCCTCAGCCCACATTCCACTCACGAGCTCTTCTTGTCTTTGCCGTCCATCTCCTCCTCGAGGTGGTCGCCAGCGACACTGGAGCCCTCGCGAGACTCGTCGTCATCCTGTGTATGTTGTCGTTTCGGGGGCATCGTGCTGATTCAGCCTTGGGTTGTCCGAGGGCGGATGGGAAAGGGATGCACCGAGAGGGTGATGAGTGAGGCGATGGAGGGACGATGTGGAACGTGGTGGTGGGTAGGAAGTGACAATCGAGGAATGTGCGGATCGTGCGGAAGAAAGTTGACGTGGGAGGGGCTTCGAGGCTAGCGTGCGTCCAAGAAGCTGTCTGTGGGAGTTCCGAGTTGTCAGCCGTCTTCACCGAGTCAGGTCTCGATCGGAGTTCGGATGTGTGGTGTTTGTCGTCGACAGTTGTTGTGAGGTATCAAGAAGGTAAGACACTCCGAGATGTGTTCTGGAACAGGCGGAGCTGTCCACTTCTGATCCGAAGTCGGATGTCGGTGTACGTGCGACACGGGTGCGCGGACGAGACGGATCAAAGAAAGACTTTGGGAATTGAAAATTCGGTCATGGCCGATTAAAGAGTTGCCGAGTTTGCAGAACAACTGCGGTACGTAGGGACGTGGTATGCGTGGTACGTGCGGTGAGGGGTGTGGTCATTCAGCGGTGAGTATTCATGACGTTGCCCTTTCTCGCTTAGCGCCTAGCGCTTGCTCTCTCTCCTGTGCGATCCCTGCTGGGCTGCTAACGCCATGCCATGCATCCAGAGCATGTTTATCATCACCCCCACCCCTCGGGTCAGCAGGGGAGACTGTCCGCTGCGATTCCGCACCTGCCGCAAGCTCCCCGAGACCTGTCCGCTACACGACACCGGGGAAAACAAATGCATGCATGAGCTCATCGTTCTGGCCGTCGGCAGCGGTCAGCGCAGACCGCCAAGTCCAGCTGTGATCGAGACAGTGCACCCCGGGCTCCGAGCTCGGGGTCGGGGAAGAAGGCCGCTCACTGAGTGCCAGACTTTTCTTTTTCGTTTCGTGCGGATCTGTAATCATTCTCGTCCCTTGTGTCATTATTGCGTCCCTCTCCTGATCTCCTGTGCCTGTATCCTGCTACCCTCGATGATCTCGTTCCGAGCTCGCACTGGTGGTCACCGTGAGGCCACCACCGTGGCAGGGTCCGAGGCACGCGGCGCTCGCGGCGCTCGAGGCGTAGCGGGCTGCTCTCTGGCTGGCTGCATGTCGTCTGACTGGCTGTGCGGCGCATGGGCGCAGTCTGGCGCTCGGCGCGTGCGGCGTCACTGCAGATCCGTCCAGAGAGATATAGATAGCACCCGGATGCAAGCGTCCATATGCGGTGGGTCCAGACCCGGACGATGCTGTTGGTCGAGGAGGAAGGCACGTCGTCATGACCGCCGGCTGGAGCCGGCTCAAACCAGCCGGTGCGGCCGGCGACGGCCCTGGCGGGCGCCGACCAGGTCGGTCACGGCACGCCGATCGCATGATCGGCCCAGGCGTCTTCTGCACGCTACAACGTGACGCCTCTACATGATCTGCAGGCTGCAAAGGTCACAGAGGTAGTCGTTGTGAAGATGGGCATGCACACCGCAGCGCAGGACCGCATGAGCCGAGGCGCCAGCAAGGCGCTAAAGGGAGAGTGGGGGCGCTCAAGCCACCGCAGAGCCATGTACCCCACTCGACTCCGACGTTGAGCGCGGCGTGTTGCGGAACTTCTGCGTTGGTCGGCAGCGACCAGTGAATGTCTCACTCAGTGACATTCTGGTGACCCTGCAGCTAGCGCAGCCGGGATAAGCGCCAAGAGGAAGGGATCAACATGATTCCTCAGATCCTCAGCGGTGTTCAATAATCCGGCTCGGCGGAGCGGCGGTGTTCTTCCAGCTGGAAAATCGCGCAGCCCGTGGATCGCAGGCGCTTGCGGGGACGTTGCGGTCAGCGCAGAGATCTGGCACATGGTCCACATGGGACCCGAAGACGATTTGAACCGGTCAAGAAGCAAAGTTGCGGGAAGGCGACGGTTGGACCTGCCGACGGACTGTGGAGCGACGAGGCTGCGATGAAGCCACTTCGTACTCTTCTCATTGAGTCTATCTTCCGTTTTACATGCTCCATGCAAGTGATCCATCTCTCCTCACCATCTACTACCCGATCATGCCTTGTTTAACGCATCAGTTACATAGCGGAAGCTGTTCCTTTGAGCTCCATCTTTTGCGTGGGCTAGGTTAGACCTGGCTGCCCTGTTGAACGGCACACTTCGGTCGGCGGTGGAGGTAGCGTCACACATGGCCAAGTGGACCTCCACCACGCCTCTGTCCAAGTCGCAGCCACCCATCGTCATCCTCGTCCTTCCTCGCCCTCCTTCACATCCAGGTCGACATGTCTGCGCGATTGCTCGTGATTACGGCGTGCGTCGTTCTAGCGCATGGTGAGCTTCACTGTTAGTTCCGTGCAAGCTAACGACAGCGGCTTTCTCCGCGTATGAGCGTGAGTGTTTCTGCGTCTGAGCCGGATGAGCCAGATCAGATCAAGTGCACAATCTCGTATCCAGAGATCAAGCCACGTCAATCGAGACCATTGACCAGTTGAGACGCGGCCTCGTTCAAGGCACAGATGCTGGTTCGGGGTGATCTCGCTTGCGGGTGGTTATTGTCGTCGTTCATACCAACGCCGCGTTGCCGGCTTCTCAAGTCAGCCCGCCGATCGTCAACAGCGGAAGCCAAAGCACCCCTTTTGACTACACGCTCTGATCCTCTCAAGCTGTGGTTTTCACATCAAAGAAGCTAACACCAGACCTGAGCACTCTGAAGGCTCTCGGCCGACCAGGCTCTCTACCGACGAGCGTGAGTGTCCAAACCCGTGTTAGGTCTCACCCTCTCGCTGTGACACCTCTTGTCTCTCCTCTTTTGGACTGCACCCCGGTGGCCTCAAGTGAAGGAGCCTGGCACAGCTGCAAGCACCCCGTGTCTTTGGCTGACCCCAGATCACGCTCGAGGCGCTCCTGGCGCTCGTTCTCTTCATCCCCGGCGTTGCGATGGCGAGCAAGCCGCTCCAGGACGTAACGTACCGTGGCGAGCTGGCGAACCGGTGAGTAAACCCGTCCAAGCAGGCCGAGCGCAGCGAGGCATGGTAGGCATGCTCCTCTCAGCAACCCCTAAGCAGGATGCTCTTCTCATTCTACTGGCCTCACGCTCAAGCATTCTGCTGGCTACAAAGAATGGGGGAATTGTCCGAGCTAACGCCAGATCCGTGGACGACGCCGACGCGCGTATCGCGTACATGCGGCCGTCGAAGCGGGCCGCGGCGCTGTGGGGCGACCAGCAGTAGAAGATTATGCGACATCATGGACCCCTTGTGCAAGGTGCTGACTTGATGTTCACATGCTGACCCAGCTTCTCATCTCTGCTCAATCCCCGGGGCGTGCACGTCATCTCACCGTTCGACACTGTCTGCTGATCTGATCGTTGGCGGGCTGGCGCTGCTGACTGCGGCCGGTCCTCACAAATGGTGCACAGGACTGATGAAGAACTTCTCACTCACGCCGATATGAAAGCCCGGAGACAGCCTTCGCTAGATCCACAGTCTCCCACGACTGTCCCCACCACTCCAGCGAGCTCCAGCCCCATTCGCACTCAGCAGACGACAGAGTACTTTCTACTCACCCCGGCCCTAGCGGCCCTGGAGAATGGCCTTCCTAAATCCGTGGTCTCTCACGACTGGCCCCGTGTCCAAACGTGACCGACCAAAGCACTTTCTACTTCACCCCAGCTTCAGAGAGCGGCTTTGCTAGAACCACAGTCTCCACGTTTCCCACGACCCGTCCCATGCTCGGAGGTCACCGACGAGGGCACATTCTACTCCTCCCCGTCGGAGAACGTCCTCGATAGCATTCTCGGCCTTCCATGCCCACCACAGACCAGACTAATCGCAGTGAAGAGAGGACCAAGTGATGTCACTCATCGCTGCGCCTGGAAGCATGTGGAGTTGTTGCATGTCTGTGCATATAAACGTAAACTACTAAGCCCCCCTCGCCTCATAGCGGAAGAGAGGGGCGTTTTACATATCTAAGTACTGCTGAGACGACCTCTCGTTCTGAGGCCGTATACCCAAAAAAAACTGCCTTGTTTCCTTTTGTGCTGCTTCCTCGGCTCTCCTCCTCCTAACATTCTTACACCTTGCGCCGCACGCGCTACGCGCGCTCCTCGCGCCGCTGTCTACGCTTCGGCTCCGCTCTGAGACTTCAGGCTTCGCTTTCGCTCTAATCGTCGAGTGGGATACAACATGTTGCCTTTCTCTGGAGTGGTTCTGGTTTCGCTTCGAAATACTGGTGCGCTGGCTAGCTAAGCGCAAGCCACGGGTCACGACGCGCCGCCGTTCACCGTGACCGAGGGCGGAGGGGCGGCGGCGGGCTGCTGCTGCACGACGGGCTGGGCTGCGGCCTGCGGCAACGGGCGGCCAGTCGTCACGTCGATGGGGACGCCGATGTGGTGCCCCTCCTTGCCTGGACCGAGACCCTTGATCGTCGGGTCGTACATGAGCTTGAGAATGCCGTTGGCGACGAGGAAGTCGAAGATGCGACCCGACTTGTTCACGTCGATCTTCATCATCTTGCGCGCGTCGCGGCGCTTCAGCAGACCCTTGCGCCGCTCGTTCTCGCGCAGGTACGTCTCCTTGATCATGAGGTACGGCTTGGGGAGGACGCGGAGAGTCGAGCACAGGTTCTGCTCCTCGCTCGAGAGCAGGTCCAGCGACGCCGCGTTCGCGAGGTTGAGGGGTGCTGGCGGCTTGCGTCCCGTGTGGCCCGGCGCGCGCGGCGTCGGGTCGCGGCTGCCACGGTCGCCGTGACCGGCGGCACCTGGTGGAGGAGTGCCGTGCAGGAAACGGTGCTGGCCGGCATTGACGCGGGCGCCGGTGCGCATGATCTCCGTCGGCTCGCGAGACAGCACCGGGCGATAGCCCGCACGGGCAGCCTTGGCAGCCTCGTACGTCTCCGCCTCGGCCGCCGTCGTGATGCCGAACCGTCGGTACTCCTGCAGCTCGCCGATGCGCTTGCGCAGCTGCGTCTCGTAGATGAGACCCTCGATGAGCGTCTCAAAGTCTTGCGCAGTCTGCAGCTTGGCGAACACCTTGTACCGCTGCACAAGCTCACGCTCGTCCTTTGGCCGCTTGCGCTCGTTCGCCTGGATCTTCTTGTGCTCGGTGAGCGCGCGGTCAAAGATGAAGTCCTTGACCATCTCACGCTTGTCGAGCTTGGAGAAGTAGATGTCGAGCATGGCGAGCTTGATCTCGAGCTCATCCTCATCCTCGACGTCCTGGGCCGGCTCCTCGGCATCGCGCTTGCGCTTCTTGCTGCTAGCACTGCCATCGTCTGATGGCTCAGACTTGACGTCCACGTCCTCCTCAACGTTGGGCTTGACGTCCTCGCCCTCCTCGCTTCCCTCCTCGCTTCCCTCCTCGTCCTCCTCTTCCTCCTCGACTGGCCGCGTGACCTTGGCCGCGGGCTGCTCGTCCCCGCCGTACTTAAACACAAGGCCAAAGTCCATGTCCTTGACAGCAAGCTCGGCGTCGTTGTCAATCTCAGACTCAAACTCGAGACGACCAGGCATGAAGCCGCCGACCTCGTGATTCGTAGGCGCCGAAACCAGCGGGGCGATGGCAGAAGCAGACGGTAACGCAGCCGGTTTCCGCATTTCCTCTATCCTCGCCTTCTTCTGCTTCTGGAAGACGTCGGGGTCGATGTTGAATGTTCGGTCCATCGGCGGCATATACACCTCGTACTTGTCCGCGGCCTCCTCGACACTGACCTTTGGATCGGCGCACTTCTTCGCCTCTGAGCCGTCACCGACGCCAAGGAACACCTCGAGGTAATGCTTCTCACACTCCTCCTTGGTGCGCGTGCCGACGTGGTCCGCGATCTCAATCCAGTTGCCCAGTCCGTATGTCGAGCATCCCGAAATCAGGAGCAGCTCCTCGTCGGCTCCCCAGTCGGACGTGAAGATCGGGTAGGAGTGCTGCTCGATGACCTTGTACGGGTGCCACGCCTTGTGCTGCTGGACCTCCTTTCCTTCTGAGAAGCAGTTCGGGCACAGGTCGACCTCCTCGCACTCCTTCGCGGCGCAGTGAATGTGGACGGTGTGCGTGACGTCGACACCGCACACGTCGCACGTGTACTTGATACCAGTCTCGGCCGTGACTGAGAAGCTGTCAGCGCAAAGTCAACGCAGATGAAACTCACTGGGCGCAGCGGCGCCTGACGGGGCGGTGTCAGCCGCGCGGGCACGACGTTGAATCTTGGTCATGGTGTGGTTGAAGGGTGGTGGTGGGTGGTGGAGGCTAGTCGGATGGTGGCGAGCGGACGCGTCGCGGTGACTAGCAGGGAGAAAAGGTTGGGTTCAACTGACGTAGTTGACGGCGGGGTGGAGGGGTGGTGATGGTGCCGTACAACCTTGTCGTGAATAGGATGCAGTTGGTGCCGGTCGCGCGACGACCAGGGCCTAGTGATGACTAGTGATGAAGGTGGAGTGACGGCGGGCTCGGCTCTACGGCGGCGTGGGCGCAAGAGTGTGCGCTCGTTGCCGCCGAGAGGTGGAACGGCGGTGGGGGTGTGAGTCGATGAAGACCGACTGAAAGGCCGTGATAGGGGCGGGTGAGGTTTGTTGTTGTTGATACGGGAGATAAGTTAGGAGCCACGAGTGTGGAGTGCGGGTTTGGGTGCGGGTGCGGGGGCAGACGCGTTCACGTCGATGATCGGAATGCGTTCAATGTTGCAATATCCCGTCCTGACGACGCGTGACTGGTGGCGAGGGTGACCCGACGCGCTTTTCGGGGGAGTGCGCGGGGGCGAGGGGGTGTGCTCGCGTCGGCTGGGCGGACGGTGGTGCGTGTTTGGGGGTCGTGCACGCCGTTGCCGGTGCCGTTGGAGGGGTGGTCTGTGGTGTTGTTGAGAGGAAGGAATGAGTAGATGAGTTGGTTGTTGAGTGGGTGTTTGGTGTGGTGAGGAAGCCAATGACGAAGGGGGTGTAGTGGTGGATGGGTGGGTGGGTGATCGCGCGGGTGTGCGGGATAAGGGAATGTGCGTTGCTGGGCGCTGGGCGTTCCTTGCGTCCCAGTGCCGGGATCCTTGTCCACCGCAGCCAGCCCTCACAGCCTTTTCCTGTCTTTTCAGGGTCGACGCTAACCCAGAACGGTAATTGGCAATTGCACACTTGTCCTAGTTCCAGCAGGCATCTCATGAACCAGCATGCTCCCGTGCCTGAGTGGCTGACGGCGTTATATTAGCGTCATATCACCGATCAGCTGTGGCACTCTGTCCACTCACTGCCCGCAGTCACGTTTCATGTGCCCCGCGTGCCCATCTGCCCACCCACCGTGCACTGGCGCAACTGGCTGGCATCAGGCGGCCCCTGGCTCGTCCGGTTCCACGGCCCGGCTCCGGCATCCGGCAAGATAGGCAGGTAGCGGCCTTGGGCGGTTGGTTGATGCGATAGATGCCGCCGGTCGATGTGGGGAACGGCTAGTCGGTGTGAAGTCAAGTCGCTGCGACTTTCACTTGACTTCTGCACTCTACTCATTCACCATGCCCCAGGTCTTCGACACCATCATCATCGGAGCTGGCTGGGCCGGCGCTGTCGCCGCCCGCGACCTTGCCCACGCTGGCCGCAGTGTGTTAGTCCTCGAGGCGCGCGACCGCATCGGTGGCCGTGCTCGCACCTGGGCTGCCGGTGACGCCCGTATCGACCTCGGCTGCTCCTGGATCCACGGTACAACGAGGGCAACCCCGCCCGTTGGATTGCCAAGGACATGGGCGTCGTGAGTATCCCCTGACAACGCCGTGCTCGACGTCGCGGCTGAAGTTGAGCCAGGAAGGCCAAGGAAGACGAATGTGGCACGGTTTACCCGCAGCAACAGTAGTGCTAACAGCAGACCACGCACCTCCCCAAGCCCACCCCTTCCGCAATCTACGGCCCCTCCGGCCCGCTCGAGACGCCGGTCGCCGCCCAGCTTGGCTCGGCGCTGGGTGCTGCGCAGGCTGCGTTCCGCACGCCTCACCCCGCCCCGGGACCCCGTGAGTCGCTCGCCGACGCTCTGTTCAGTTCTGCCTCGCCCCTCGGCAAGGTCGAGGACAAGTCTCTCGCCGAGGGTTTCGCGCGCACGCTCGAGGTTCCCCTCGGCCTGAAGCTGGAGCGCGCCTCGCTGCGCTGGGCCGGCTGGGAAGGTGCCACCAACTTCGCTGGTTCCGACGCTGCTCCCGAGGGCGGCTACGAGGCGCTCGTCGGCAAGGTCTTCCAGGACGCCGAGAAGCACGGTGCCGTCGTCAAGACCGGCGAGCCCGTCACAGGCGTGCGCGACATGGAGTCTGGCGTCGCCGTGCAGACCGACAAGGGCAGCTACCAGGCGCGGACTGTGCTGTGCACGATCCCGGTCGCCGTCCTCCGGCAGCAGCTCGGCATCTTCCACCCGCCCCTCCCCGAGCGCTACCAGGACAATGTCCGCGGCGTCAACGTCGGCGTGCTCGAGAAGATGCTGCTGAACTACGACAAGCCGTGGTGGCCGCGCGCGAACGAGGTTGCGTCCTACATCTTCCTCCCCACGAAGGCGCCCGGCGGCCAGTCGCTCATGGACGTGCTCGAGTCGTCTACAATCATCACAGCAAACCTCGCCGGCCCCGCCCTGCCCGGCGCAACGCCCACGCTCCTCTCTTACCTGTCCGACACGCCTGCGCGCGCCGCGCTCTCCGTCTCGCCCGCCGAGGTCGCGCAGACCTTCCACGCCTTCCTCAAGAAGCGCCTCGACGTGCCCGACGCCCCCGAGCCGCGCGCGAGCGAGATCACAAACTGGCTCACGGACCCGCTCTCCCTCGGCGCGACCACGACGCCGACACCCGTCAGCGACGGCGAGCGCAGCCCCATGGACTTTAAGGAGCTCTCGCGCCCGACATGGGACGGCAAGCTCGGTTTCGCGGGCGAGCACACCGAGATGGAGAACCGCGGCAGCGTCGCCGGCGCCGTCGTCTCGGGCATGCGCGAGGCGGACCGTGTGAAGCGCTACCTCTCCAAGCACGACGCGAAGAAGCAGTAGAAACCGTAGACCCCTAGATGCAACTGTGACCCCCGCCTTCTCCTTCAAACTCCTGCGCGCCGTCAGTGGATCAGTAAAAGCGAAAGTGCACCCAAACGAATAACAAGGAAGACCAAATCGCATCTAAACAACACGCTTAGGCAGCGATGGTGACCTCAACCTCGACTCCGGGCTCGAGCGAGATCGAGGTGATCTTCTTGACGACCTCGGCGGTGGAGGTGAGGTCGATGAGGCGCTTGTGGATGCGCATCTCGTAGCGGTCCCAGGTCTTGGAACCCTCACCACAGGGCGACTTGCGGGTGGTGTGCTTGAGGTGCTTGGTGGGGAGACGGACGGGGCCCTTGACGCGGAGGTTGTTGTCCTTGGCGCGGTTGATGAGGTCGCCAGAGACTGCTTGTTAGCTGACTAGTCGAGTGTATCGCAGCCTGAGAGCGAGGTCGTCCATGTTCGGCGAGCAAGAGAGTGATTTCACAGACGAGACGTTTGCGGCAACAGAAACCCAGCAAACGTCCGTCCGCTCCTCAGGCCCTTGCAAGCCATGCCATGTCCTATCCTCGCTACAGCTCCAGCTTCGCGCCCGCGACGCTCGGCGCCTCGTCCTACTCACACTTCTCAAGGTTCTTGACGTTGCGCGAGGTAAGGGTGATGCGGATCTTGTGGACCTTGGCAGCGGGGGCGCCGGTCTTGTCGAAGTCCTCCTTGGAAGCCATTTTTGATTTTGTTTTGTTGTCGAGAGTTGGGAACGAACCGACTTAGCAAAAGGGAAGTTTGCAGGCAAAGTGAGTCCGTGAAGAAAAGAGCAGAGGCTGCACGACGTCTCGACAAGTCGTCCGTCGCCGGCCAGTGGGAGTGTCGCGAATTTGGCGGTGTTATCAAAATTTCGGCTCGTGACGTGTAAAATGCGCCGTGTGGGTTTGGTCCCGCCGTCAGTTGGGGTGCCCTTGAACCTCCATGTAATCGCGTTTCATGCTCTTGATTAGACGCCGATTAGCATGCAATTCCTAATGCGAGGTGTAATGCACAAATTTCTGGCGCCGTCGAGGTTGTTGCTGCCGCAGCGCGCTGTGACGCGAGTTGCTTTGAGGTTAGCTGTCTTTGTTGACATCTATACGAACTCAGCCAAGATGGTCCGCCTCATCACGCACAACATGCTGGCGTGCCATGTCCGTGAGTATCGCTCTCTGCGCATCACACCCTCTCTCAGCTGCGACTCCGTTTCCTTCGAGCTGACACCCCAGGCAACTGCAACACGAACAACTTCCCGCTCGCGTTCTCAGACGTCGAGCTCGTCGTGCGCCCCGCCGAGGCCAACTATGACTTCCTTCGCCGCTTCTTGCCGAAACTCGACTGGGCCGCTCTTGTCGACACGGCGCGCTCGCTCGGAGACGAGTCGCTCCCGGACGAGATGCCCGAGATGTGGGACGACGAGATGCTCCAGAAGCTGCACCATGTGCTCCTTGAGGTGAGTACGGAGGTGTCGGAGGTACATGCATCACGGACTGTCCTGGGGAGCTGTTTAAGTAGTGCAGTCCAGCTAACGCCCAGCTTCACGTCGAGGAGGGCAAGATGACGTGCCGCAACTGTGGACACATCTACCCGATCCAGAACGGTATTCCTAATATGGTGAGTTAGATGGACGCTTCTGAAACTGACAATCAGCTCCTCGCCGAGCACGAGATTTCCCGCTGAGCTAACCCTGTCTGTACACTACTATGCATTGTTCCCTCTAGACTGCCTCTACCGCCGGCCGCCGTACCGGCTGCCCCCCGGCTGCCCCCTCCCTGCCCGTATCCACCGCCGCCTCCCTGCTGATATCCGCCCTGGCCTCCTTGGCCATAACCTCCCTGCCCGCCTTGCTGGTATCCCCCCTGTCCTCCCTGCTGTCCATAGCCACCGGGAGGACCCTGGCCACCGCCAGGACCAGCGCCGTATCCACCTTGCTGTCGTCCGTAGCCGTTCTGCGCGTTCGGACCGTTGCCATATCCAGCCGGAGCGGGGGGATACGCGCCGTACCCTCCTGGCCCGCCACCTGCGCCGGCGTTGGCTCCAGTACCAGGTCCGCCGAAGCCACCTCCTCCTCCGCCGCCTCCGCCTTGACGATCGAGGTCGCGGCGGCTGCGTCCGGCTGCGTCCGCCATACGGGTCCGCGTCGCGATCACGGTTCCGGCCAAAGTCGCGCCCGCCCTGGTCTCCGCCACGGCCAAAGTCCCGGCCTCCGTCGTTACCGCGGCCGAAGTTGTTGCGACCTCCTCGCTGCCCGTAGCCGTCGTCGCGGTCGCCGCGGTCGCGGCCAAAGTTGCCCCGGTCCGGGCCGGCGCCGCCGCCGCCACCACCAGCAGCGTTCGGACCCCACTGTCTCCGTCCTGGCTCCGAGGACGTCGGCGCACGCCCCAGGCCGGGCAGCTCGCCCAGTCCTGGTGGTCCGCCGAGACCCGGGGGGCCGGACGGCGTGACGGTGCGCGACGGCGTCGGGCTGTTCTTCGCCGGCGGCGCACCGAGACCCGGCAGACCGGGAAGCGACTCGCCAGGCGGGGGAAGACCCGGCCACTTGCTCGTCGCCTGGGCCTGTTCGGCACGCATCGCGCCCTCCTCTCCCAAGTGATACTTGTCCGTCTCGTGACCTCCGGCCGGACGGGCGCGGCACCAGAACCGCGCCGTAAAGTCCTTGCTGCCCGAGCAAAGAATGTGGCCGAGGGGGTGGAAGGAGACCGAGAACACGGCGTCGTCGTGCGCATTCTCCATCATCGTGACAGGCTTCGAAGGGTCCGGCGCCTGCAGCGACCAGTACGCTATGCTGCCCGCTGCGTCGCCCGAGCACAGGAGCGAGTGGTGGATCGGGTGCCACTCGAGACAGTTGACCTCCTTCGTGTGACCCTTCATGGACTCGAGCTCGCGGAAAGTGCGAATGTCGAAGAGGCGGATGACGTTGTCTCCGCCAGCGGTCGCGACAATGTTGCCGTCCGGGTTCCAAGTGCACGCGTTAATGACTGCCTTGTGCGAATGGAGCGTCGAGAGGTCCTTGCCCGTCCGCGGGTCCCAGAACTTGACGAGCATGTCCTTCGAGCCCGACACGACCAGACCCTTCGTAGGATGCCAGTCCACGCAGCGCACATCCCATCCGTGCCCCGACAGCTCGCGCTCCGTCTCCGCCGCTCGGTAGTTCCAGATCTTAACGAGACCATCGTCGCCGCCAGTCACGAACCACTCGTTATTCGGCGACCACGCAACACCGTGACAAGCCTCACGATGTCCCTGGAAGCCGTGGATGTTCGTCAGGTGCGGGGTGAAGTACTTGATCCAGCCCGACTTGTCCGTCGAGACCAGAGCTTGGCCGTTGTGCGAGTACGACATTGCACGGATCGAGTCGTCGTGCACCTGCGTAATCGACTCGTAGTTGAACGAGGCACCGTTCCACAGCGTGAACTGGCCCTTGTCATTGCCCGTGAGAAGACGACGAGCATCTGGCGTCCACTGAAGACAGTTAGAACTAATCGCGTTGGCGTTGGACAACTTACCTTCACTACTCGAGTCGGAGAGCGCTCCTTGTTGATCGAGGTGTGAACAAAGTAGTCACAGATGGACGTCGACGTATCTCTAATGTGTGCAGCTGGCGGAAGGAGCTGAGATCGTCAGCTAAACCAAGCAACCACGTCAGCTTACGTTGATGATATCGCTTGGATTGGGGTGTATCGGCGGCATGTAGTCTCTCATACCCTTGATCTTGCCCAACTGTTGTCGTCAGTCTGATGAGGCAACACCGCCTGCGGCATCGGCGCAAGCAAGCAGCAAGCAATACATACCATGCGCCATTTCTGGACACCTCCCATGTAGTCGACTGTTCTTCTAGGCTTGTACTTGCGGTTGGCGCGCGCATCGCCTGGCGGTCTCGTCACCGCAGCCTGGTACGCAGCCTGCTCCAGGACCTCTTCATTATCCGGGTGGTTCGGCTCCAAATACTTCTCGGGGCGCCAAGAGTCCGGGGCCCGCGTTCGCGAGGGGCCAGCCTCCTCCGGGTTTGCAGATGCCGCTACCATTGTCGGTGGGCTGTGAGGTGAGAAGCGAGGTCGAGAGAGTGGATCGAGGGGGTATTGTCGTTGGGATCGGCCAACTACGTCAAACCCAAGTTCATGTCCCATATGGTCGCGGGGCTCGAACGGAAGCAAATCCTCCATATTTGGCGGTTTTACTTGAGTCGTTCGTTAGCTGATCGCGCGTGTGTAGCAGTCCACTTCGATCAATCCTTCATTCACTCCTCGCCATCCTTACACGTCTTTTCCCAACAACTACTAAAGACACGAACGCACGAACCGGAAAGCCATGGTCTTCGTTTGGCATGGCTTTTGCGTAATTTGAACGACAATAGAACCGGATCCCTTCATTCCCTCGCCTGCCCTTTCCTGAGTCTCGTGGCGACGCGTCAACGTAAAATCAACTTTTCTATTATCTTTCCCGACTTTCTGCCGACTCGGCATCGCAACTACAATGGTTTACGATCCGGTCAGAGACTGCGACATCCCCTCCCCGGCCATTCAGAGGCGGCCCTCGTTGTGGGAGTCGCCACAGGCGTCGACCCAACAACCCTCTTATTCACCAGAGCCATCCCCGGGAGTTCGTCCGTTGAGTGGACCTGGGATGCGCTCATTACTTAATGACGATGCTCCCGGACCATCAAGACGCGGTAGTGACCTGACAGCGGCTTCGTCAGACTACGAAGAGCACGGGCAGGCGGCACGCCCACACTTGTCAAAGCTCCTCAACGACACTCCCACGATCAACCGACGAACATCCTCCTCGTCTTCTGTTCATCACCACGAACCTACCGCTTCCAGTCCTCGCCTTTCCTCCCCCACCGTCGGCCTGCATCCAGGTTCTCTGTCGCGCGTTAGCACGCAGCGGTCGCCCTTGATGCCTGAAGCCCGGCTGAGTTCGCCATCGTCCGCCGTGTCCACGGGCCACTACGACCTCCCACCCGCCTTTGGAGATCGCCCTTCGTCGCGACGATCTTCCTTTGACGTTTCCTCGCGTTCCATGCCGCCTCCGTCTGAGCCGATCCGACACGAACTTACCACACCTACCAGTCACAGTGCGCCCCTTCGCTCTCCTAGCATGTCTGCGTCGCCTGGATCGCACCACATTGGGCTTCCCAGCGAGCGCCCACAACCGCGCGGTAGCAGGAGTAACTCCGGAACATCGACATCGCGTCCGCCACCGCCCACAACCTGGTCACCGGAACCGAATCATTCCCGCCGCGCGAGCGAAGAGGTGCCCCCGTCGCCTTCCAACGCATCGAACGGCCGGAGGTCACCGCCGCCGCCGCCCGCCCGCACGCCATACGAGCCAAGGCACCCCTCGAGTTCCAGGACGATTCGACAACCGATCACGCAAGACGAGCTCCAACGACTGCGGACAGAGGCTGCGGGCAACAACCCCTTACGTCGCAAGCGCCGATCAGCACCGTCCTGGTCAGCGCCCAGCCCGCAACGGGGCAGCTCCATCGACGCCTCGGCAGAGGCGGGGCCCTCGCACCCTATCGCGCCGTGGGTCGACGGCCAGCGCCACGAGCCGACCAGAGACAGTACCGCAGAAGCGGTCGTCAAAGGATATGGAGCCCGTGGACGACCGTGCTGTGCAACGGAGACGACAGGACTACACGGGCAATGCAGCCGAGGTTGCTTCGCACTACAATGCGCGGCCAGAAGTCGGAGTGGAGCACCGTGAATTTTCTCCGATCATTGGCTTGAAGAAGTTCAACAACTGGATCAAGTCTGTGCTCATTGGCAAGTTTGCGTATCGCGAGCGCGGCCGACCCGGCGCCAAGGTCTTAGATCTGGGCGCCGGCAAGGGTGGCGACCTGAACAAGTGGAAGCAGGCGCGCATCGACTTGTATGTCGCCATGGATATCGCCGAGACGTCCATGGACCAGGCTCGGGATCGCTACAATACGATGCGAGGTAACAAGTTCGAGGCGCACTTCTACCCCTTCGATTGTTTCTCCGTGAGTGTTGCATTCTAGCTTGAATCTTCCGTCGTAGCTAACCCGCAGAACCCGATTTCCGAGATTCTCCCCAGCGGCCTCAAGCGCGCGAACCTGTACGACAACGTGTCGATGCAGTTCTGCATGCACTATGCGTTCGAAACGGCGTCCAAGGCGCGGATGATGATCGAGAACGTATCGCGGTATCTGAGACCTGGCGGTGTCTTCATCGGTACTATCCCTAACGCGGAGCAGCTGCTGAGCCGCCTCGAAGAGATCCCTGACGGCGACGAGTTGCGCTTCGGCAACAAGTGCTATGAGATCGCCTTCGACGAGAAGCAGCACAAGGGCGTGTACGGCCACCGGTACCGCTTCTACTTGCAGGATGCTGTCGAGGACGTGCCCGAGTACGTTGTCGACTGGGACAATTTCGTCAACCTCGCGCGCGAGTACGGTCTCGAGCTCATCTACTGTAAGACGTTCAACGACGTACTCCAGGAGGAGCAGAATGATAGGGAGTTTTCTCAGCTCCTCACCCGCATGGGAGTCGTGAACCAGGATGGCGAGAGTGCCATGGACGACGACCAGTGGGAGGCTGCGAGTGAGTACACAGCTTTTTTTGTCGCGATTATAGCTGACAGTCCAGACATCTACATGGCCTTTGCCTTCGAGAAGGTGCGATGAGGGGCGAGACGAGGTTGTGAGATGAGAGGTGTCGGTGCTAGGTGTCGGGTGTTAGCGCGAGGACGGCCGTGTCCTGTTCTTCCGTTTTTCTCTCTGTGTAGTAACTTTATAGCTTTCAAAGCTGGGTAATATGGACATTCGTCATTTGTATGAGCTCAAGTATGATGCATGCTCTATATAATCTCTAGTCGTACAGAGGAGGTGTCTGCTCCCTCTACCCATCACTCCCTACGCCCTCTTCGCCGGCGTGGAGAGATCACGCCGCTCCCAGACCTGAATGACCGTCTCACCGAGGGGCACCATCTCCCTCCGTACGTCCTCAACGCGCAGGTCCTGCATCTCATACCACCGCTCGGACTCGCCTCCTCCCCGTCCGGCGCGCTGGAAGATCTTCCACGCCACAGTCGAGTCGTCGCTGGGGTCCGGCTTGCCCGAAGCCTTTGTGCTCGCCATCGTGCTCTCGAGCACGACGTTGCTGAGAAGGTCGTAGCACGCCATGATGGGGTCGCTCGGCTTCGGGTCGACGTACGGCTGCATGTCGACGCCGCGCATGGGGAAGTTGACAATTGTCGGGTTCTTCTCCTCGACGAAGTTGTTCTTCGTGAAGCGCTTGATGTGCAGAATCAGGTATGGTGGGAGTGCCTGCAGGTGGTGGCGCTTCAGTGTCGGGCCGAACTCCTGCGTCGTCTTGCCGTCAAACTTGGCCAGGATCGATGCGAGGGAAACCTGTGGGATGATCTTCTTCTCGTTCGCGTCCTGGAACAACGGCGTCGCAGGCAGGTCGAGCGCGAGGAAGAGGAAGGGTGACGACATGCGCTCAATGTCTGTTGTTGGTCAGCTCGTCGCCCCGTAGCATGTGAGCTTACCTCGTGACTCCTCAAACACAGGACGCGCATAGTCCTTGTGCGTGATGATTTTTTGTGTCTCAATCTGCACCTTGCCCTGGAACGTCGTGTAGATAACGGATGAGTTGCGCTTCCTCGTTCCGCCGAGGCCGCGGTGGAGCGTGTTGATGAGCCAGCCTAGGAACTCGACCGGGTCGCCCTGCTCAATCGTCGTAAACTTCCCGTTACTGCGCTTCGTGACCTCGTGGAAGAACTCGTGCGGGGACACCTGCGCCTTGAACAGGCGAGGGTTCCAGAGACGACGTGTCAGGGCCGCCAACCGCGAGACGAGCTCCGTCGGCCGCGCCGACTCCTGCAGCTGCGGCGTATTCGGGTTCAGGAAGAAATTGCGAATCGGTGGGACATGCAGGAGCATCTGCGTGATCACGTTCAAGTAGTCGTTCGCCTTCATGTTATTCAGGCCCACGTAGCCTGGCAGGTACTCCCTCTTCTCGAGCGTCAGGCTCGGCGGTCGTAGGTCTGAAAGTCCGGCCAGCGATGCAGCCTCAAACCGAGGGTTCAAAACGTGCAGGATATCGTTCAAGCTTGGGTCGCTGACAAGGTATCCTTCCGGCAGAACGTAGAACTTCTCGGTCGCTAGGTTGAGCCAGACGCGGTGGTTCTCGCCGACAGCATGGCGGTACGCCCACGATCCTCGCCCACGTCCCTGGAAGTACTTGCCGCAAACAAGACAGCAGTAAACATTGATGTTCGACAAAGACTTAGAGCATAGCCGCTCGAAGTCAAAGTCCAGATTAGCCCGGGATACCTGTTGTTAGCCAAGTTGCGGGAGGCAAGCAGCAGCCACTCACAGTATCGAGGTACATGTCACGATGCCTCAAATCCTCCTCCTCATCCGGAATAGCCTCCTCCGGCTCATCCTCACTCTCGCTATCGGATGGGACATCCCTCTCCGCTCTCTGCTGGCCGTTAGGCTGTGCCGGTGAACTGAGGGTTGCTGGGGGCTCCGCGTCGAGCTTTGCTCGCTTGGCAGCTGGCGGCGACGTCGGGGGCGAGGGCGGCATAGCGGTAGTTAAAATTGGCAGCTGAGATCCTATGTCAGCGGTCTGAGGCGAGAGCTGGAGTCTCAGTGCCGTCGATGGCTATGGCAAGATTTCGCAGACCTAGGACGTTTTGTTGTGGACCTGGCTTGGTCAGTTGCATCACCGTGAAGTCAGCCATGAACGGCGGCGACGGAAGCAAAGCCACGCGGAACCTGCCTACCAGGAGTGGAATGTGGCGGGATGCCTCCGGCCGCAGCTCATGAAGTTGGAACGCGTCGCGACCACAACATTGCGATTGCATCATTCCAGCCCCATCCATCCATCCACCATGGCTGACAACGACGAAGCCTGGGTCACTAACTCCAATGAGGCTCTGAACCTTCAGCTCGGTAAGCTTTTACTGACAGAAGCTCCAGCTAACGCCAGTTCGAGCTGAGGAAGATGCCGAGCAGCTGCACGGCGAGGATCGCGTTGTGATCGAGCCCTTCCACCCGGACTTCACGTATCCCATTTTTGGTGACCAGGAGAAGATCTTTGGCTACAAGGGACTCGACATCAAACTCCACTTTGCTTCCGGCTCGCTCAAGCAGTTCCTCCAGATCACTTACGACGAAAAGATTGAGGACGAGGCGACCCCTGCCGATGACGTCGAGGGCGAGCTCTTCAAGTTTCTGCCGGCAGACTACACGAAGAGCGCTGTCGCTTTCGAGCAGACGGTTGAGGAGGATGCAAAGAGCTTCAAGCCGATGGGAGAGCTGATCGGGAGCTACACGCTACGTGCTGCGAGCAGCAAGGGGAAGGGAAAGGCGAACGGGGAGGGACCGGCAGCTGATGCGGATCACGCTGTCTCATACGAAATGTTCAAGGTAAGCTATAGGGCGGGATACAGATAGCTGACATCAGACCACTTGGGACACGCCGGGATTTCGCGAATACCATCGACGTATGCAGATCTTCATCCTGCTGTTCATTGAGGGCGGAAGTTACATTCAGGAGGACGAGGAGGCGTGGGAGTTTGTGACATTGTGAGTTCGTATTCGTCTTACAGAGCTGACGCCTAGGTTCGAGAAGCGCCGACGACCCGATACTGATATCGAGACGTACCACTTCGTCGGCTACACGTCGCTGTACCCGTTCTGGTGCTTCCCGGACCAGGTTCGCCTGCGCCTGAGCCAGTTCGTCATTCTCCCGCCGTATCAGCACCTCGGCCACGGCTCACGCCTTTACTCGGCCCTCTTCAAGCATATGCTCGGACGCGAGGGTGTCGCCGAACTCACGGTCGAGGACCCCGCCGAGGCATTCGAGGATCTGCGTGACCGCAACGATCTGCGATTCCTTGTCGAGCAGGGTGTGCCGGAGGATCCGAAGTTCCTCGAGGGCGTCGGAGACAACAGTCGAGCGGAGCGTGCCAAGTGGGAGGCGGGACTGCGGAAGAAGTACAAGATTGCGCAGGTGAGTGAAGCTCAGCTGGCAGTCCGCAAGCTGTTCGTGCTCAGAGACAAAAAGCTTACATGCGCAGCGCCAGTTCGACCGATTGCTTGAAATGCTCCTCCTGCGTCAGCTTGACCGCAAGGATGCGGCGAAGGTCCGAGCCTACCGCCTGCAGGTCAAGGCGCGGTTGTACCGGTTCAACTACGTGAGTTAGTGCACCTGACGTGAAACTGACAGACAGGAAATGCTCTGCCAGATGACGCCAGAGGAGCGCAAGGAGGCGCTCGCAAAGACGTACGACACCGTCATCGATGACTACGACCGCATCCTCGGCATGACTTTCCACTAGCTTCATGCGGGTACGACTTCAAGATGAGAGCGCACGGAGTAGTGGTAGATGTTAATTGGTAGAAGATCCCTTTTCACACAGATGTATAGCAGATGTACGCAAGCAGATGTACGCAGATATGCAGATACCCAGGCAAAGATGCTTACACGGAGATGTCACGAGCTCCCTCCCACCTGCACCGGACTGTCTGTTTCTAATTACTTTTACGCGGCCCAACCGCTCCCAATCGAGCACGGCTGGCACAGCGCTAGTATGGAGTGATGGTGTATGAGATATGCAGATAACGTTACGTTACTCGCGCGATGGGCAATTCGAAACACCCCGACTCTCAACCGGGCCTCTGCTTACCCCTCGACCTTCCAGAGCTGGCGGGCGCGTTTCGGCTTGCGCGTGACGTGCACGCCCATTCCGTCACCGTCATCCTTGACAGCGAGGACGACGCTCTCCTCCATGCCGCTCGCGGCGGCGCCCTTCTTGCGTGCGGCGACAACCTTCTTCGCGAACTGGAAGCGCTCCTGCATGGCCTCGATCGGGAGGTCGGGGCTCTCGACGCACGACTTGAACAGCTCGTACGGAAGCGCGGCGTACGCGTCAATGAGAGGCTGGCGGTTCGCACCAACGCTGGCCGGAAGTGTGCGGATGAGGAAGTTGGTAATGTCGCTGCGAAGACGCTGCGAGTACTCGCCGTAGTCGGCCGAGAAACCGTTCGCCGAGTTCGGTATCCGTTGATCGAGCCAGTTGACGTACTGCGCAACGTTGTCCGCCGAGAGCGACGAAGAGCATACGGCATACGCCCTCTGCACCAGAGCCGGGGAGCCAAACAGGTACGCCGTAGCGAGAACAGCGCGGGCGTTGGAAGGAGTCACGAGATCATTCGCGGGGCCTGTAGTTAGCTCGGTGTGATCAAGGTCGGCGATCCGTTTCAAAGGTGACGCACTGTACAAGTCCTGGATAGCAATGAAGACAGCCTGTGCGTGAGCTTAACCTCAATGCCATAATAGCTTACCTCCTGGGTGATGTTCTCGTCCATGAACTGAAGCTGCAGAGTCGAGCCCGGCGAGGAGTTCATGAGCAGGTGAGCCAGGTACGGAGAACGGGCGAGGATGACTGAGGTCAGCTGGGTGGCCCTCGAAGCCCAGTGCAGCGCACTCACGCCTGTGCAGCTTCACAGAGGTGTTGAAGAACAGGAGCTGAACATCGGCCCACTGCTGACCGCAGAAGCCAGTGTTGAAGACGTAGTTGGCCAGGCCGCTCGCAAAGTCCTCACTTGTCGTCAGCCGATGATGCCCAGGGAAGCTCAGAAGGTCCGTGTAACCGCAACCATCCACTTACCCAGCCTGCTCGCTTGGGAGGGTGCTCTCTGGCGGGACGGAGGTCGCGCTGTAGGATGTGGTGGGCGTCGCAGCGCCGTGGGACCGCGGCGTCGCCATGTTGGGCTAATGAGTTCAAAGAGTGGAGGTCGAGAGTGTGTGGGGAAAGGCGGCTGTCGGCGGACTGCTGGGCTGACTGTCGAACGGCTGAACAGTTGAAAGATCAGACCAACGGGTGTTATCTAAAGGAAGGGTATCTGTTGGGAACCGATGTATGGATGCGGAACACTGAGAGACACAAGAGGAGGGATGAAGGGAAGATGAAGTGAATGACGACAGGAGACGCTGTCGGCGAGTTACTGGGTACCGTGGGGTAAAAGTTAGGAAACGGCAACAATTGAACTTGGCATGCAGTTGCCTTGAGGCGTCGAAATATCATCTGACATCAGACCCGACCTTGCTTCCTGTCACCTCCCCATCCCCTTTCACCATGTCGCACCATCGTCGGAGACGGCAAGCGCCAGCACCCGTGCAGGTCATCGCCGACCCCGAGGGCGATGCTCCGTCACTAAGCGTCACCATGCTCGGCGCCGGACAGGAGGTCGGACGGTCATGCTGCGTCATTCAACATCGAGGCAAGACAATTGTTTGCGACGCTGGCCTGCATCCCGCCTACCCTGGCCTTGGAGGCTTGCCCTTCATCGACGAGCTTGACTGGAGCACCGTGGACGCCATCTTGATCACACAGTGAGGAACGGAGCGAGGCTCGCCCTTGGAACACCCTAGCTAACAGTCAGTTTCCATGTCGACCACGCGGCGGCGCTGCCGTACATTATGGAGAAGGTGCGATTAATGGTATTGTGCTGGGAGCTGACATCAGACGAACTTCCGGGACGGAAACGGCAAGGTGTACATGACGCACGCGACGCGTGCCATTTACGGACTGACGATGATGGACACCGTCCGCATCAAGTGAGCTCCAGCTGCTGTGGAAACAGCTAACGACCAGTGACCAGAATGCCGAAGCTGCTGGACGGCTGTATAACGAGGCCGATGTCCAGGCAAGCTGGGAGAACACGATCGCGGTCGATTACCACCAGGACATCAACATCTCTGGAGGACTACGCTTCACACCGTACCACGCTGGCCATGTGTTGGGAGCTTCTATGTTTCTCATCGAGATCGCGGGACTGAAGGTGCTCTACACCGGAGACTACTCGCGAGAAGAGGACCGGCATCTTGTCATTGCTGAGGTCCCGCCCGTGAAGCCGGACGTTATGATTTGCGAGAGCACGTTCGGTGTGCACACGCTACCGGACAGAAAGGACAAGGAGGAGCAGTTTACAAGTGAGTTGATTAGCCGAGCAACGCAACTGACATCAGCACTTGTGTCGAACATTGTGCGAAGAGGCGGCAAGGTGTTGATGCCGATCCCGTCGTTCGGCAATGGACAAGAGCTTGCGTTGCTGCTGGACGACTACTGGAACGACCACCCCGAGCTGCAAGGTGTACCAATCTACTTTGCGTCTGGATTGTTCCAGCGCGGAATGCGAGTGTACAAAAAGTATGTGCACACGATGAACGCGAATATTCGGTCGCGATTCGCGCGACGAGACAACCCGTTCGACTTCAAGTACGTTAAGTGGCTGAAGGACCCGAAGCGACTGGACCACAAACAGCCGTGTGTCGTGATGGCGTCCGCGCAGTTCATGTCGTTCGGTCTGTCGCGTGAACTGCTGGAGGAATGGGCTCCGGACCCGAAGAACGGCGTCATTGTTACTGGTTACTCGATCGAGGGCACCATGGCGCGCACATTGCTAGGCGAGCCGGATCACATCGAGTCTCTCCGCGGTGGGCGCAGCATTCCCCGCCGGTGTACAGTCAAGGAGATCTCGTTCGGCGCACACGTCGACTACGCGCAGAACTCCAAATTCATTCAGGAGATTGGCGCGCAGCACGTCGTGCTTGTGCACGGCGAGGCGTCGCAGATGGGCCGTCTCCGTGCAGCGCTCCGCGACCAGTACGCCACGCGAGGACAGGAGATCAACATCCACACGCCGAAAAATCTTGAGCCGCTCGTGCTCAACTTCCGCACCGAGCGTGTTGCGAAGGCAATCGGAACGCTGGCCGAGGAGCGCCCGACACACGGTGCGGAGGTCCGCGGTCTCCTCGTCAGCAAGGACTTCTCGTACACTCTCCTCGACCCGAAGGACTTGAAGGACTTTACGGGTCTGTCGACGAGCACGATTGTGCAGAGGCAGAGCCTGCCCATCGGCGTCGACTTTATGGTCGTCCGGTGGCACCTCGAGGGCATGTATGGCGAAGTCGAGGAGAGCCAGGATGAGGAGGGAAGAGACCAGTTGACGGTAAGCTGCCAACTCCATTTTCCTAGCTAACACCAGATCATGAACGCCGTCCGCGTTGTGCGCATGAGCGACACCGAGATCCAGATGCAATGGGTCTCGAACACGTCTAATGACATGATTGCCGACAGTGCGCTTGTCGTTCTACTCGGCATCGACGCCAGTCCCGCCACCGTCAAGAGTGAGTTGTACTGTACTTGGCCTCAACTAATGTTTCAGTGACGACAAACCCCCACCCGCACGCGCACCACGACCACGCCCCAGGCAAGTCGTCGCATGACTTCGAGACGCTGCGCATGTTCCTCGAAGCGCACTTTGGGCACGTCACCGAGCCGTCGATGGACCCAGACAACGATGAGTACCTCCAGATGAAGGTGAATGTGGATGGCGTCGATGCCGTCGTCGACCTCATCAGCATGAAGGTCGACTGCGACAACGAGGAGCTCAAGGGCAGAATAGAAAAGGTCGTCGAGATGGCACTCACGACCATGACCCCGCTCAGCCGCCTGTTCGCAGGCCAGGCGCTCGAAGGCAGTCTGCCTGAGATCGAGGCCAAGTAGAGCGGAACGAAGGAAGACGCGTAGACAGCAGTACATACTTAGATTCATACTCTCTGTAGCACCCACATACCAGATAGCTGTCACATAGTCGATGACATCTCATCATTATTTCAGCTCTCCTTTCTGCAGAATCGCCGCCGTTTGCTCTGCCGGCTGTCCCCAGCTTGCATGCGGGAACGAAATTCATTCTCTACTCGTGACAATTACTACCTAACATGCATCGATCGATCCATAAAAATCTATAGACACGCAAGCTCCAAAATATGTGTGTATGTACTGCGAAGGCCCAGTACGTCATGAGCTACTACGCATCTTAAACAGTGGCGACAATCTCCTCGGCCCGCTGGAGAGCCTTGGTGAGCTTGACTAGCTCACGTCTCCTGCTGACAATGTCGGGGCTCTCCTTGAGAATCTCCTCGATGACATTCGGCTGGTAGAGGTTCATGAGGAGGTGCTGCTGGAGCGTCTCCTTGCAGTGGTTGACGAGGTTCAGAGAAATCGCCTTGGGCACCATGTCGATCATTTCACGCTGGATGACGTTGAAGTACGACTTGATAAGGCTGTCGGTCAGTTTTGCACGATAAAGATCGGCTGAACTCACAGCTTGATAACCTCCGTCTCCATAAGCTCGCGGTCGGAGAGCTGGTTGACAGGCTTAATGATGGGGGGAGGAGCCTCCATCGCCGCCGCACCCTTGCGCTTCGCCTTGTCCTTGTTGAAGAAGGAACCAAAGAACGAGTCGTCCCTCTTCGTCTCAAGGTCGCCGAGATCCTTGGGCTTCTTAGGGTCGACCTTCTCGGGAGGCTTGTTGGCATTCAGGCGCTCCTGAACAATGGCCATGGCCTTGTGGCCATTCAGGAAGTCGGGGTGGGTGGTGTTGATGTAGCAGGCCTGCATAGCAACCATGTCGGTAACGAGCTTGTTAGTGGGACCCATACAGGTTTTGAAGTAGTTGATGACGACCGAGTTGAAGCGGTCCTTGAGCTCGGGGTACCGCTTGAAAGCGGCCGTCTTGGCCAACAGCTGGCCAAGGATACGGATGAGCTCGTCGTAGACGAGGGCGACACATCGCAATGAGGGGTCCTCGAGACGGCGGATCTGCTGCTTCACGATAACCTCGAAGGCGGCGGTTCCAACGAAGAGCGAAGGAGTCGAACCGCTCGAATTGTAGAGGATCGTTCGGATATCTCCGTCCTTCACCTGGTCAAAGGGGTCGATGCTCTTGACACCGTGGTTGTAGAGCTCATGGTAGACGTAGGAGATACGGGCACCTCCAGAAAGCTCGTTCAGCGAGAGGTCGTTGGTGTCACCGTCAATGGAGCGCTGGAACTCTGTGCAGAAGTCGGTGATGGTCGACAGCACGACAGACCCTGGGTTGGTCTCGCCCATGGGGCCACCCAAAGCGTCGAGCTCAGCCGAGTACTTGCTGAGCTGAGATGAGATGCGCGCCTTAATGTCGGGCAGCGTGTTGCGGATGTGGTGCATGAGGATGATGTTGAGCTTGCGAGCGAGCCAAGGGGTACCGCAGTACTGAGCCTTGGAGGCGTAGCTGGGGTGGTTCTCGAAGAACTTCTTCTCATTCTCGAGAGCCGAGGCGATCGACTTGGAGGTGTCGATGTCGCGCTGGCCACGGTTCACAACAGGGACGTAACCAAGACGAAGAGGAATGACGCGACCGGCGAGAATGTCAACAACATCGGTTCCCTGGTCCATCAGGTCGACCTTGGTGAGCACACCGATGGTACGGGTTCCCTCCGGGTCGACTTCACGAGCGAGCTTGAGACCGTCAGAGTTGGCCAGGTCAGTGTTGGCAGCCGTAACGGCGAGGATGATAGCGTTGGGCTTGGAGATGTAACGCATGAGCATGTCGCGAATCTGCTTCTCGATGTCACGAGGCTGGTCGCCGACGGGGACTTTGGTAAGACCGGGCAGATCCACGAGCGTAAGAGTAAGGACGTTGGGAGAGAAGATGCGGAGGTTGATCGGGTTCGGCGAGATACCGGCGTTCTTTCCCGTGATCTTCTCCGTGTCCTTCACAATCTCGTCACGAATGGCTCCAAAGTCGTAGAACTTCTGGCCCGGGAGATGCAGGAACTCTCCCCACTCGTCAGGGTTCGTCTCGTTCACGCGCGTCTTGGCCATAGCGTCGACTAGGGGGTGTTAGCGCAAACAACGTTGGTCAGACTCACCGACACCCTCCTCACCGTCCTTCTGCTCGCCGTCCTTCTTCTCATCTTTCGCACCGTTGGCCTTGTGGGTGGCGGGTCGGTTGATGAGCTGAAGCACGAGAGGTCGACGGGTAACGATACCCGATCCTCGAGGGAGGAAGTCACGTCCGACAATGTTCTCCAGAACCGAAGACTTTCCGCTCGACTGCGAACCGATGACCGTAATCTGAGGCAAGTCCTGACTGTTAGGCTCTGTGGCAATAACACGTAAGCAGCGATTCTAAAACTCACGATCGTGTTCGGGACGCCGATGGACGCGAAAACGTCCTGGAGCTAAGGCCGTCAGCGGTGGCAACACCAACAGAAACTCACCTTGTTGACGAGGGAGATAAGTTGCTGATCCATGTTGGTCCGCCTCTATTTCACTGATCTTCGGAACTAGAACTGGTCAGCATTCCTGATCGGCGATGGTGTGTTGGAGGTGTGATGGGGCCGTCCGACGACATGAGAACGGGCCGCCGAAGCTCCACCAAACGGTTCAACCCACTCACAAGGGTATTGAAGCGTTCCCGTGTTACCAGCAGCTGGTTTCTGGTGTCTATGCGATGTACTCGGAACGCTGGTCGGAACAAAGATGAGAAAGATAGATCAAAGTTGGAAACTGACAATGACGATAGCGAGTTGAACGAGCCAGTGCCGAGTGACGAGGGACGACACGCACGCAACGCCACTCAAGCGGGGAAATTACCCGATTTGGCAATTCCGGCATCTTCGGCGTGGAGGTCGTCCACACCTCCATCTTGCCCGCGATAACCAAGGCAGCATCGATTCTGCTCTCCACACGACCCTCGCAACATGCCCTATATTTCGACAGAGGCCCTCGTAGGAGCTGCCCTACTTGTCGCACTCGCGTTTGGATATCAACACATCACTGCTAGCGGGAACGACGCCACCTCGTCCGCTAAGAAGAAGAAGAAGAATAACAAGAAGAAGAGCAAGTCTGCTGTGCCGGACGATGTCGCTCCGATCGCCGTGGCTAGTGGATCGGAGACGGAGACGAAGAACAACAAGAGCAAGAAGAAGAATAAAGGGAAGCAGCAAGCGACAGTGAAGGATCCGAAATCCACCCCACCCGCAACCACACCGCGGTCGCCTGCACCCGAGCCGGTTCCCGACGAGCCTAAGTCTTTCGCTGAAGCTGCGCAAGAAGATGGTTCCCAAGAGCCAAAGAAGCCTAAGATGTTGGCAGAGAAGCTCCTGCCTAAGCCTCGCAAGACGAAGGTGGACGAGTGAGTCGCAGTTGCCCAGAAGCCCATTCACTGATACCCAGCATGCTGGAGCCTGAGGATCGCGCCCCGCAAATCGCCCGCGTGATGAAGATCGTGCACGACACGCCTGCATCTCAGAAGGTTTCTTCCTTCGGGGATGACTACGAGGATGATTCGGAGGGTTCTTCTACCAAGCCCCAGAATGATGGCTGGAACGTTGTGGCTGCAAAAAAGAGTAAGTAGATGTTTCCTCAACGTGCACTGACGCCCTTTAGAGCCTGTGTCCCTCAGCATTGGTGGAACGCCTGCGCCTTACAAGCACAGCAACGACACTAGTGATGGCCTCACGAAGCTGCAGCGCAAGAATCAAAAGAAGGCTGAGGCCAAGAAGGCGGCGAAGGCGGCCGAGGAGGCTGACCGTTTGCGCCGCCTGGCGATGCACAAGAAAGACTTGGAGAGGTGAGCAAGCTTCTATGGGTAGTGCTGACGGTGTAGGGAGAAGATCAACCAGATCTACGCCACCTCACAGAAGAAGGTGGTCCGAAGCAACGGCAAGGTAGTGAGCGGAGGACAGCAGGCCTCCGTCAACAGCAACGGACAGCTTGTATGGGACTGAGGAGATTGGTGCTTGAGGGAGCATGTAGGACATTAGACACAACACTCATTTTGCATCTGCTACATTACCATCACTTGCACGAGCTCTCAGTCTGTTGTTCAGTGCTGCATGCCGATGTCACCAAAACGCGTGTGGTCGCGGTTCCTTGTGATTTCCGGGACTACAACTTTCATTAGTAATGACGTCACGAATGCAGGTCTGATTAGAAACCGTATCAGCACGAACACTAATCGTGGCGGGGTCTGGAGGCTGTCTGGAGGCTGCGCGACTACGGTTTCGGTCGTGTCCGATGTCAGGTCCAGAGTCTCCCACCGGAACTAGGAATCCGAGGGACAACAGCAACACCCAGTTGCTCACTCCAGCGTCTGGCAAGCATGTGTTTCGCGTCTTCCCCGGCTTCCCCGCACCCCCACATCCCCACCACGCCTCCTGGCTGGGCCCCGTTATAAACTTCGTCGCTCAGCTGATCCTTCCCTCTTCATTGTCTGTCACTCAGCGCTGGAATCTTGCTCGCCCGCACTAGCAAGCTTCTATCTTATCATGCTCCGGGTTCCTCGTGCGACCGTCCCTCGCGCGCTGTGCCGTGCAAGGCGCTACCACGACGACGCGAGCTTTGGCTATCGTGTACCGCGCAAATACGAGCTCCCTGACTGTGAGTATGCACGCCACCGTCTGTGTGGTATTCGAGGAAGGCGGAGATTGACAGCAGACACGCCAGAGGAGTTCGCCAATCGCAATGAGAATGCCCCGCTTATGCGCTACGTCGAGATGATGCGCCGCCATGGCCACCGTGCTGCCAAGGTAGGCTGTTACCTCCGCCTCTAGCTAATGGCAGGTTGATCCTTTGGACTTAATGGAGCGCGAGTGGGTATCGGATGTGGGGAGGTGTGACGGTATGTGCTAATAGCAGCCCCGTGTCTGCCCTCGACCCGTATCGCTACGGTCTGGATGACAAGACCACCTACCCCTTAAACGGCATTATGCACCTTCCCCAGTCTCCGTCTCCGCGCAGTGCCACTGGCGAAGGAGAGGATACGGCGCTTCCTCTGAGCGAGATCCAGAAGCACCTCATGGCGGCGTACGTCGACAAGATTGGTTATGAGTTCCAGCACTGTCCCAACAAGTCGGAGAGGCTGTGGTTCTCTCACCTGATCGAGACCAAGGGTGAAACTGTCCCCATGGATGACGAACGGAGGAAGCGTGTCTGGAAGCTGCTCAGCAACTCGGAGGAATTCGACAGGTTTATGGCCAAGAAGTTCCCCAATCTGAAGAGATACGGTAAGCGAATAACTTCCAACTGCAGCTCACGCTAGGTTGTGAGGGTGCTGAGAGCATGCTGCCGGCTCTCGACACTCTGTTCGAGCTCGGAGCCAAGTGTAAGTTCAGAGCGGCGGGGTTTGAGCTGATGAGTAGCCGGTCTTGGCGATATCGTTGTCTGTCTTCCTCATCGAGGACGCCTGTCGCTGTTGACAGAGCCTTCCATGCTCAAGTACCCGCACGAGGCCCTCTTTTCTAAGGTCAAGGGCGCCCCCGAGTTTGATCCGGCTACTGCTCCTGGTGCGACTGGTGACGTGATCTCACACTTGGCTGCGATCTCGGACTTGCAGTACGACGGAAAGCCCGTGAAGGTTGAAGTGCTTCAGAACCCCTCGCACCTCGAGGCCGTCAACCCTGTGGCACTGGGAATCACTCGAGCCAAGCAAATGAACCAGTTGAAGTCGAGCCCCGCCGAGTGCCAGCTTGGCGACCGTGTCCTGTGTGTCCAGCTGCATGGCGACGCTGCCTTCTCCGGGCAAGGCGTCGTCACAGAGAGTCTCGGACTCAGCGGTCTGCCGCATTATGGTTCTGGTGGTACAGTGCACATCATTGTCAAGTGAGTTGTCGCCGCCTCACGGAAGCTGACCTCAGCAACAACATCGGCTACACTACGCCAGCATCGTTCTCGCGATCGTCGTTGTACGCCTCGGACATCGGAAAGGCCATTGGATGCCCCATTCTCCATGTCAACGGTGACCATCCCGAGGATGTGGTGCGCGCAGTCGACATCGCTTTCCAGTACCGCAACATGTTCCGCAAGGATGTCATCATCGATCTCATCTGCTACCGCCGCTGGGGTCACAACGAGTTGGATGAGCCAGGTTACACTCAGCGTAAGTCAGGTGGAGGGCTTCAGCTGACAAGCAGCCCTGATGTACGAGAAGATCCGCTCGCGCAAATCAGTTCCTGAGCTCTACGAGGAGAAGCTCATTGTAGGTAGAGACGACCCTCACACGCTGACGCCAGGCCAACAATATTCTGACCGAGGAGGAAGCCAAGGCGGGCCGCGTGGAGTACCAGAACGTCATGTCCGATGCTCTTGACAAGGTGGGGTCGTTTCAGCCCAAGTCGGAGATGCTCGGTGGCAAGTGGAAGGATATGGTCTGGCCTGCTTCGCAGGAGGCGAAGCCTGATCCCGAAACTGGTCTCTCCGAGGAGCGCCTGAAAGAGGTTGGCCGCGCCAGTGTCGAACTGCCCGACTCGTTCAACCTGCACTCCCGTTTGAAGAGGCACATCTCCTCCAGACTGAAGGGTCTGGATGGCAAGGTCGACTTCGCTACCGCTGAAGCTATGGCCTTCGGTACGCTCATGCAAGATGGCTACGATGTCCGTATCTCTGGCGAGGATGTCGGCCGTGGAACGTTTTCCCAGCGGTAAGTGGAGCAACTGTCAGGGTGGTCCCTTCTGACCATCGCAGTCATGCCATGTATGTGGACCAGAAGGACGAGTCGTGCTACGTTCCTCTGAATGACTCCCTGAAGGCTCCGGGCAAGCTCGAGCTTGCGAACAGTACGTCGCCAGCGTCAGCTCTTTCCTAATTTGCAGGCTCCTTAAGCGAATTTGCCGTTCTTGGGTTCGAGGTCGGCATGTCGTGGGCGAACCCCCGGCTGCTGCCTATCTGGGAGGCGCAGTTCGGTGACTTCTTCAACGGCGCGCAGATTATGATCGACACGTTCGTCGCTGGAGCCCAAGGTGAGTAGTGGACGATGACACATACCTGACAATACAGCAAAGTGGCTCAAGCAGAGCGGTCTCGTCATGATGCTTCCGCACGGCTTCGATGGAGCTGGTCCGGAACACTCTTCATGCAAGATCGAGAGGTTCCTGCAGGCTTCGGACGACGGGGCAGCGAGTCCTGCGCACGACGTGAACCTTATCGTAGCCAACCCCTCCACCCCAGCACAATTGTACCACCTTCTGCGCCGGCAGATGATGCGGAACTTCCGCAAGCCGTTGGTCATCGCTTCCCCCAAAGGTCTCCTCCGGTCTCCCGTGAGTACATCCAGGTGCATGCGGTCATGCACCGCGGCCGCGTCTTTTTGCGCTTCGGCCCCAGTTCGCCCGCCATTCGTTCACTGGCATGATTGGTTCCCCTGTCGATCTCGGATTCGCTAACGCCACAGGCCGCGGCGTCCCCTGTCCAGGACATGGGCCCTGGCACAAAGTTCCAACCCGTGCTTATCGACGCCGCCGACAACGCCCAGCGCGTCATTGTGTGCAGTGGCAAGCACTACTATACGCTGAAGGACGCAGCGAACGCCAGTGACAAGCCCGTGACATTCATTCGCATCGAAGAACTGTCACCATTCCCTGCCGCCGAGCTGAAGGAGGCCCTGCAAGCCGTCAAGGGCGAGAACGTTCCGGTGATTTTCGCGCAGGAGGAGCCCGAAAACGCCGGCGCCTGGTCGTACGTGAGACCGCGCTTGGACGCGGTCCTGGCGGAGCTGGGCAGGTCCCCCTCCACCTACGCCGGACGCAAGGCCGGCGCCACGACGGCCGTCGGAGTGGGTGCGTGGCATAAAGCGGAGATGGAGGTAATCGTAAAGGCTGCACTGGAGTCTTAGGAGGGGTTTACTCGCTACATCATCTGACCGGTGCGGGAACTGTAAAGCACGGTCGTGATCGCGAGCATGGCGTTCGTAACGAACATAGATGAGTGAGATTGCGACTCCAGCTGTAATCCCCACCCATTTCAATACCGCAGCGATCAAGGTGGCGTTCAAGTTATTCAAGGCATAGGTTACAGTATCTTTAGACAAACATGAATTACATGAAGATATGCGGCTGTGACTCCCACTATTCCACATCTGTAAGCGAGCTGGAGGCTGGCCGTAGCCGAGACACATGCACAGCACATGGGTCTACGGAGGTACCCACCGCAGTACGCTGAGGGGGCGCGGCACAACAGCGCTCCTGCGGCGCAGTTCTTCATGCCCTTCGGATTGCTGACTGATGATGACTAAACGCGCGCTTCGAAACCGCCGTGGCGTCAGTATTGTCTAAAACCACAGCGCCGTGGCGCAGGCACAGATCCAGACTGGCGTGAGAGGGCACAACTGCGGTTGTGGAAGGAATGACGCTCCATGTTCTATGTTGAGCACCAGAGAGCTAGCGCCATACGCCGTCGGCGTCGAATCCACGCGAGCTCGGCGTTCGAGTTCGGCGTCGGAAGGAATAGCAAAGTGCGCCACGGCACTGATGTAGATCCAGGAAGGAATGCAAGCGTGCGAGTGCGAAAGCAGGCGGAATGCAACGACCTTGCTTCTATGTTCGGCGCATCGGGGCTGCAACAGACACGGCCGATACCGAAAACTCGCGATGTCGGCGTCGAAAACGTCGGGAGTTCAGAAACTGTCTCAGGGCGGATGGAGATAAGCCGCTGATCACATGGGCGGACACGCACCCCGGACTCATGGTCTGATGTCAAGCTCATGACGAGATCTGTCCGCATTCTGGCGCAGATGCTCTTAGCGCGTGCTTAGTGCGTGGCGATCTGGAATAGGACGAGCCCCTCCTACTTCCATGCCGGGTGTTGGGTCCGGCGGCCAGCACTAGCATTTAGTGACATGTAAGGGGGTTAGCTGATGACTCATTAGTCTGTTTCTATGCTCCTCAGTTCAGCCAGAACTCGGGAGATTGTAGCTGTGATGAGCACACCCAGTGCGGAATAACGGTTTCTGCATACCCCGCGCAATTGCTTTTAGTGGTTAGCGCAAGGCGTAAACAATGCAGCTGTAGTCTTGGCATAGCGTCAGACCCAGCAGTGATCGCCGCTAGGCTGTGGGCTGTCTTCTGGGGCGCCTCTCGAAGGTAAGTTCGTAGCGGCTGTCGTTGACGCTAGCAGCGGTATGCAGTTTGTCTTGGTGCCAAACTCATCATGGGATCGAACCCGGGCAGAATGCACGTTCCGCAGCTTGCCCGCCCCGTTGCTCGCGAGCGGAGCTCGTGCAGGCGGCGACGGCGAGCCGAGGCAGACATAAGATAGTGGGATGCGGAACGGACGAGAGTGGCGGAGGCGAGAGTGTAGTTCTGGGAGAGCATGCTGCTGGCCGCCTGGGCCCATGTGCTCATCGGCGGGGAGAAGACGACCTACGTTTGATCTCTGAAACAATCACCTGCCGACATCATAACGTAGCACGGCGCAGCACTCGGAGTGGGCCGCAACTGATACCCCGCAGCCGTCGCCGGCTCCTGACGATATCCTCGAAGTAGGCCCCGGGACACCCCAGCCTCCCTGCGGAGCGATCCCGGGCATCCGGGGTAGATAGAACGTGCCCGGTGCGCGCACTTCCGCGCTCGAGAAAGCGCCATCGCGTAGCGCCGGCTACCAAAGCCCCGCAGCATCGCTGATCTCCGTTGGCAACTCCGCGCCGATCGCTCTTCCCCGACGGTAGTTCCCCGACGCTACCGTCGGAAATAGAACACAGTCAGTAGGACATCAAGCCGGAACACACCCGGGACATCCCCGGCGTTTCCGACGGTCAGTCTTGCGCGCTAGGCTGTCATGAACAATCTGTAAACCGATAGTGGTTTGCTGGCCGTCTGGCAAGATCAGCTGGTGACAAGATTAACCGGTGACTAAGTGATCAGTGCGTGTCAGTGGAGACCCGACCCGACGAGGGCTTTCGGCCGATGCTAAGAATGCTCAGAAAATATCGAAATTGTCGCTCCGAGGGTGAAGGTTGCGCCGCAGTCCGGCTGTCCAGCATGAGGTGGGCAAAGTGGGCAGCGCTGGCCGCATTCCGATGCTGTCATCAGAAGGGTGCCCACATGTTCACCCATGGAGGCTGCGTGCTGCGCCTCATGCCGCGGACGCGAATGGGGCCCGCACGACTGAGGCCTAGGTTGTGTTTGCCTCACTCAACGGTTGCTGCGTAATCGGTACCAGGGGTGCTGTGATATAATCAGTAACGATGGGAAATGATGAGCTAAAGCTCACCTTGTCATCAGTGAATCGTAGATAGAGCGCTCGATGGAGCACATGATGCCACACTTGGCCAGCGCCACTCCTTTGGCCCCAAGGTCCTTTGGACACAAGCCCTACCGACGGCGCCACAGCAATGGGAACTGCGGGCATGCCGAGCATGCCGAAACATGCCACCCCATCGACGAACGTCTGGCGTGCGCCGCGTCCTACTGTGTTCTCGGCACTGGAGGGCATGAAATCATAGCATGCCAATTTGTGAACCTGGTTTTATGTGGGAAGTGCCAACCTTCTGCCCCTGTGTCAGCCAGCCTGATCTGCGGTTTGTGATCTGTGATCTGCGCTACTGCGGCCCTGGGTGTACGTTAGTGGAGCTGTTGACACGGCGCACATGCAGTATCTCTGCTGCGCAGAGGAGAAGGCATGCCAGGAACGAGCATGTCGTTCCCGGAACGCTCGACTGCATCTTGCCCACCAGCTTTTGAGCGCGGGGGCCGCTGTCCCGCGCTGAGCGGTGGGTTATGATCTCATAGCATGAGGCAGGCACGTGGTTGTGAGGTCACCTCTTCGCCTTTCTACCTCGTGCATTTCCCCGGATAATCTTCTCCTTTTCATACCCCGGCACTGCGGGTGAGCCTGAACCGCAGTGTGTGGGAGGTGCATGCAGGGAAGGAGAGGAAACACAGTGGGGAAAAATACCAGAAAAGAAGCAAAAATGTCACAACGCAATGGCCACCCTCAGCGACACAGGGTCCATGGAAAATATGCGGAGAAAACACCAGACACGGGTCAAACCCAAAACCAGTCCGCCGGAGGCAGAGGAAAGAGCCATGAGGTATCCAGGAACGTCGATCACGGTATGTGGCACGCTCCACCCCAACTTACCTGATTGCTGTCATTTACCAAGGTTGCTGCTTCCTCACGGAGGAGGGTGCGACGGGACAAGAAAGGTGTAATGCATGCATGACTCCACTCTCGCAGTTCGACATGCCGAAGTCCTCCCCCGGTGCCGAGGGAGTGGGAATGGCCGATGCCAACAGCTAGTTCGATCTACGCTCCGCGACGCGACGCGCATTGCCTGTTCGAGCTCTCGGTCTTAGCTCGATTGGGTGTGAGTCACCTCCGCAGTAAGCGAAGTTTCTAAGATCCACAAGTTGAGCTAGAAGCCGTAATCGGCAAGATTGCCAAGGAAGATTGCCCGGCCTTGGCTGTCGCGGCGAGCTTAAGCACACAGCCCGGGTTACTCCCACACTGCAGAGCAGCTACCCAACGCCGAGAAAGCAGCCTCTTCGACATCATCTATGCTCTTTCTCTGCAGCTCTGCCGCACTCTTTCTTTGTGTAAGAGCGGGCTTGCAAACCCCGTCCATGCCTCCGCAAGAGGCAGGCCCGAGGAACCGCTTGCCGTCTACTGTCGCCGGGTCAAACTGTATCCGGTGGTGGCGCCACCGAGGCTAGATGCTTATCGCAGCGGCGAGATCCGCCCTGCTCTCCACAATCCTCATCTTTATCACGGCTGCTGCGCAGCCGGCGATGGAGCTGGGAAGTACCACCAGACCTGTAATGCTGTTGGATACCCGGCGCACCCGGTGTGCATCGTGTGGCTGTTGGAGCGTTGGAGCAGACTGCCACTGTTTCGGAGACGGCATAGGGACAGGGTGCGGCTCCAAGGAATCCGGAGTGTACCACCCAGGGTGTACCGTAAGTCGAGAGATGAAATATGAACGCATCAGGGTCCGTCTCCACTGTTTTCAGTATGGTGCGGTGTCGGGTGTGCCGAGATTATCCCTTCGTGGGACGTTGCATGCATTGACTCGTGCACCGATTGATTAAAGGGAGGAAGGGGCTGGTTAAGAGGTTATGGATAGTCCAGGCGATTGCTCAACAGAAGCTCCAGAAATATCCGCAAAAGAACGGGGAAATGGGAGCATGCCTACCACGTCCCTCTCACGAGGTATTCGCTTCGGACGGTGCTGTAATAATGAACAGCGCTCCGCTCTGCTCTGCCGAAGGCAGCCTGCCTGACATTGGCAGTCTTTGGGGTATCCCTGCTGAGGATCACATGCACCACGCCTTCCGGGGTTTGCAATGGCCAGGCCGGTGTCGGAGCCATGCTCCCCACATCTTACACGGCTCAAGCTGAGTTCAGCAAGGGGCACATATCATGGTTGCGAACGAGCGCGTGACTTGATGCACTTCTTGCGCCGATCTGAGGATCTCTGGGCGGGTTTGACCCCGCCTGGTCCCGCTGCATGCTGTCTGAGCGGCGCCGAGGTGCAGAGATGCCGCTCTGAGTCCGCTGACCGAGCTCATTCAAGCTTGACTGAAGCGAGCACCAAGTCACGGGTTCCATACTGTTCGGCACCAGTGCACCGCCGGTCGGTCTGGCTCCAGCAGAAGCTCTGCAGGCTCCAGAAGGCCGCTGTGGTTCCAGCGCAGAATCAAGCCGTTCACGGCAGAGCAGTGTGCTATTCTTGACATCATACGGGGCGGGTCGCTGGGCGGGAGCGCACAGTCGGGCGGGTGGTTCGGATGTATGGGGAAATTCCCGACGGCCCACTAAAGAAGTAACCCTGTCCACACCCTTCTGTGACCATCTTTCTGGTACTTTTGTCTCTTGGACGCATGGTGCATGGTGCAG